TTCCCCGAGCAGGCAGCCTCATAGGGAACTGCAAGGCTGAGCTCTGTCTCCGGCTGATAACACTGAGCCTTGAACAAATGTCCTCTTACACAAGACACCATCAGCATAGAATCATAGAACAGTCAGGGTTGGAAAGGACATTAAGGTCATCCAGTTCCAACCCCCTGCCATGGCCAGGGACACCTCACACTAAACCGTATCATCCAAGGCATTGTCCAACTTGAACACTGCCAGGGATGGAGCATTCACAACCTCCCTGGGCAACCCATTCCAGTGCCTCAGCACCCTCACAGGAAAGAATTTCCTCCTTAGATCCAATCTAAACATCCCCTGTTTAAGTTTTAACCCATTACCCCTTGTCCTGTCACTACAGTCCCGCCCCAGCATCCTTACAGCCCCCCTTCAGATACTGGAAGGCTGCTATGAGGTCTATGAGCATGGGTTCAGTAAGACCAAGGAGAAACCCCAGAGTGCCCTGAAGGCGGCTGGAGCCAGCGAACGCTCAGCACCACTGGAAAACCGGGTCCAAAGTCCTAAGGAGTTTGAGGGAAAAGCAATTCTCTGCATGTGATTCCCTTGAGTACAGCAACGTTTGCTTCCCAAAGCACTCCTGCAGAGATGTGCCGTTCACAGGGGGTCAGACAGGCTGTTTTCCATGAGGAAGCATGGCATGTGGTAAGGAGAGTGGATGAGAGGGAGGCTGTTAAAAGGCAGCTCCTAGGAACTATGGGATCCCTCCTGAAGCCCTGGGCCTGGGCTACAAAAACCTCAGTGCTGAGGGTGCTGAGGCGCTGGCACAGGGTGCCCAGAGAAGCTGTGGCTGCCCCATCCCTGGCAGTGCTCAAGGCCAGGTTGGACACAGGGGCTTGGAGCAAGCTGCTCCAGTGGAAGGGGTCCCTGGATCACCTTTAAGGTCCCTTCCATCCCAAACCATTCCATGGTTCTATGATCCACACACGGATCCACCCAGGAGCAGAGGGGAGTATTTAAAGGTCCCTGATAGCCTGCTCGTGAACCTGCCTGGACATGTCCCCAGTGTGTCCTGACATGTCCCATCCACAAATCCCCAGGCACTTGGAGCATGGGGAGCAGGAAACAGACCAAACAAAGCACCAAGCTGACAAAAGACATTCAGGCACCAAAACAGATGCTTAGCAAAGCCCAGTGTGAGGAGCTGCAAGGTGGAAGGGTGCCCAGCCTGGCTCTGTGCTGTAAATGTGAGCTATTCTAGCAGCTAACAGGTTAAAAAGGCTTCATTTACGTCCATATCCTCCCTTTCCTCCCCTCCTTGAGTTGCATTTCACACGGTTCAGTCACAGCCTTATTTCACAACCGTGTGTTTTGAAAGGACTCCTATTAGCTCTAAGTGTAGGCTGCGCTTAGGGCTCTTGCTTTATTGTTTACCCTGCCTGCTAGGCCTGTTTCTGGGGTCAGGCCCAGGTTACCCATTACACTGGGATTAAACACACCAGCCCAGCTTACCCCTGGGCTTTTTTCCCCTCAAATTCCCAGTGATTTGGCTTAACCGGGGTTAGCGATGAGGTGGCTGCTGGCACTGCCCTCAGAACCGTCTGTGGAGCCAGACAGAGGGATTTGAACCAATACATCTGTTAGCTCCACAAAGCAGAGCTGTTGTCGGATTACTTTTCCCCCTTCAAGTAAAGAAAGCAAGCTCTTGGCTTCCTAAATCTCTAAATCACCTCCAAGTCCTTCCCAAAGACTGGGGGAAACTGGGAGGCACCCGCTCAGAAGCGACAGCGGATGCGGGACAATTCCCATCAGGAGGATTTGAATGTTAATTCTCTGTAGCCCTTCTATTGCTCCTAATAGGGGTGTGGGTTCACACTGGGGCTGTTGGACCATCACGGTACCGGAGGAGAACAGCTCGGAGCTGGTTCGTGTCTCCTGTGCACCGAAAGAGGTGTCATCGTGCCCCGAAATCACAGCAAGGCCAAGCGCAGCGTGGGAACAGTGCCTTGCAGGTGCACAGGAAACACTGGGAGTTGCTGGCGGTGAAGGGAGCAGCTCCCTCTGTCCATGCTGAGTGTTAACCCGCGATTGAAAGCCAAATGTTCCCCTTTTACTGTCAAATTTCCAGCTCAACTGGTTTGGAAGCTCATTTGGATAAACAGAGTGTTTGAAAGCCTATCTGCGCTTTGGTTTCCTGCCAAACCAGTTGCAGATCCAGTCTGGCCAATTGCTATGGAGAAGTTTATTGGGTTCTGTTCTCTTTTCTTTTGGCTTCAGTTGGCATCTAAACGCTCTCAGCCATTTCCAGCTAAACACAGGGCAGAAACTCATCCAGAAACCCAGTTCTAACTTCTCTTGTTCAAATGAAGTCTCTTTTCTGATGGTGTTTATTGTGGAACGCCTCTGGAAGCACGTATGGAGTCTGATGCCCTGTCTTTAAGGCATCAGGCTGGAAATCCTGGGCACGTAACCCGCTTAGAGCTCCTTGAGCTCCACAGGAAATCTCTTCTTGGAAGGGCTTAACAAAGTCAAGCTGCTTTCCCAGCCCAGGGCCTGTGTCTGTCCATAGGAGCACACACAAGACAAGGGCTCTGAGCTGTGCAGAGGCAGGCGGTGGAAAGCCCATGATTAAGGAATAAATGGAAGATCTGAATTTGGAGAATGGTGCCACCACTTGTGGAGCAGGGGGGACCAGGGGAACCTGCCTGCCAGGGCCACATCAGCACCAAGCACTTAACCAACACTGTTAGCCCTAATGGCAAAGGAACCTGCGCTTGCTATTAGTGCAGGCTGGAGGACAGGAGACCTCTTGCTCCAATTACTGTCCAGTGACTCAGGGCTGGATGATACCATCCAAGTACCTTTTAATGTGTTCCTTCTCCTGGATGGGAAAAAACAAGCCCTTTTCCCTGCTCTCAGCTTGCCTGGATGGACTGTGAGCTCTGCTCAGGCCTCCTCCGCTTTACTGCACAGCAGTCAGGGGGTTATTTTTGCTTTGGCTTGTAGGGATCTGTTGGTATAAAGGGGATCTTCTTCGTGGGATGGGCTCTCTTGCTTCCAAGTGTGCTGCTGAGGGTGCTGGTGTGTTTGAAGCAGTGAAGCTGTGCATGGACAGGGCTCGCATCCAGGGGCCTCTGGCTGCTGCAGCAGCATAACCCATGCCCCCTGCCCTGCACTAGGTTTCACATGCCCCCGGGGGCTCCTTCGTGTGTGCTGCTGACTTGAAAAAGAAGAAGAGGAAGGAAAAAAACCCTCCTTAGACTTTAATCCTTGGGTTTATTTCAAAGCTTACAAAGGCAAAGCTGGTTTACAGCAAGAGATTTGCCCTTGTGGATGAATGGAGCGGCAGATGGAGAGGGGAGCAGAGGATTCAGGGAACCCTTGGCTCTGTCTTCTTCCTTCTTCCCCTACCTCTGCTCCTGCTGCCCAAAGTGCTTTCCTTGGAGCTGCACAGAACACAAAGGGGATCAGCACAGACCCTTGCTTGGGTGCTACCTGTTGTATCAGGGAATCATGGAACGGTTTGGGTGGGAAGGGACCTTAAAGCTCACCCAGTACCAACCCCCTGCATGGGCAGGGACACCTTCCACTTTGCTCTGTTGGTTACCCATTGCTCCATCCCCATCCTCCCACGCTTCAGGTGTGACCCCCCCCCCCCCCGTGCCCATAGGAATGCCAGAGGTGCCAATAAACCGAACCTCCAGCAAAAGGCCTCCCAAAATCCTATGGTTTGGGAGCTATGGGAATAACTGGAGCTGTGCGACCTGCGTGTAAGGGTGCTGGGAACCTCTTCTGAGGTAGGCAGGCAGTGGTGGTTCAGCCGGAGCTGCGGCAGGGCAGCATTGGCAGCCGTGTGGCGGCTGCAGCACGCTCCTCCTCACCGGGAACACCGGGAGCGGCACTGTGGGAACCGGCGGTGTCTCCATGGGGCTGCTCCTGGGGCACAGGCAAACCCAGATGATCTAATCCCTGCCTCGGTTTGTTCCAGCTGCACCCACTGCTTGTGGAGATGCCAAATGAGGCCCCAGCCATAGGAGGAGAAGGCGTTTTCGCTGGGGATCACATCAGAGCTGCGGCTTCAGCGCATGCCAAAGGAGGCATCTGGGGCTGCGAGACAATGCCTTGGAACAAGCCCGCTCCTCTGCCAAGGGAATATTCATTCCGAAATCCCATCCTGGTTTGATACTGACTCTCTCATGGTTGATCAAAGGCAAGGCAAGAAAAAGAGCCTGGCCTCCTCCTGCTGCTTTAGCTTGGGGCCAGTTTCAGCAGGAGCTGCCTTGGTGCCAGCAGCGGGGCAGCTTCTGCTTTGCGGTGGCTTCACGGTGCTGCTGGCATCGCACTAAGCACCAGGGCTGTGCGCTCCTCCTCTGCCCTCTCGCTGGGCTGGATGGTGGCAACCGAGGACGCTTGGTGCTGCTCCACACATGCCTTGGCTTGTTCTCCCTGTTCCATGATCCGACACGTCCTCCGTGCTGCAGCCGCCTCCCCTGGCATCCCGCTCATCCTCCCGCCTGGCTGCTGGCTGGAGGGAGGGATGGTGCCCTTGCTCCTTCACCCTAAATGCTCCTCAGGAGTGAGACAACAGTGGACATGGCAGTGTTCAGTGTTCACCCCCTGGAGCCCGCACGCTGTCGGGACCTATTGGAAAGGATTTAGCCTTGTTCAGGGAATGGGGAAGGAAATTTGGCGATGGGAGCCTGGTGGGGGGGACACAGGCTCCCTGCACTGGGGACAGAAGGGTGTCACTGCCCCCAACCACCCCAGCGACCGCTCTGCGCTGTTTGGTCCAAGGCAGTTCCACTGATCCAGTGATGCCGAGTACATCCCAGTGCCTGTGATGGGCAGAAGCCGGAGAGGGCACCGGGACCGGGCTTCCACCACCCCGGACCCCCCCATGGTCACCTCGGACACGGGGTACCCCTAGAACCGGATCCCCGGGTGCCCCTGCGCTGGGGCAGGGGTGCAGGGACATGGGGGGGGGGGGGGGGGGTTACAGGCCCCCATCTCCACCCCGTCACCACTTCCCCGCCCCGTCCGTCTCCCGGCATCCCGGCATGAGCCAGCGCCGCGGGCCGCGGCAGGACATGGTCCCCGAGATCGCCGCCGCCGTCGGCTTCGTCTCCGGGCTGCTGCGGACGAGGGGCTGCGTCAGCGAGCAGCAGCTCCAGGTCTTCAGCGGGGCGCTGCGGGAGGCGCTCGCAGGTGAGGGGCAGCGCAGCGGCTTTGCGGAGGGGAGAGGAGCCCCGTTGGGTGTCCTTTGGAGCTGCCGGGGTCGCTCCCGGCATCCGGAGTGTCTCTTTGGGTGCCTACCGGCATCCTCTCGTGTCTGTGCTGCCCTTGTTGCTTTCGTGCCTTTGGGTGCCCACGCGGGCACGTGTAGGGATGCTTGCGCCTCCCTGAGCACCCATCGGTGTCCCTGTGGGGCTCTGGGGCAGCATCTCCAGCCCTGGAAGTGAAGCGGATCCCTGTTTAGTCTGCGGGCTTTGTGCAGCCCGTCTGCTTGAGGCTGCGCCTGCTGGGATCAGGGTACAGATGATCCGAAGCTGATCTCTTTGCCCTGTGCCGGTTGGGGTTTGGCGCTCCCATCCCCGCTGGGTGGTTCAAGTGTCTCCTCCCAGCCTGACCCAGCTTTACGTTATCCGCCCTAGGGAGGGGTGGCTGGTTTGCTGCTGTGCTGAGATAAAGGGGTAGCAGCATGCCCCGGAGCTTAGGGAATGACCTGGATGTTACTCCTTGGCTGTGGTGGTTTGTCGTCCGTGATACGGTATCTGCCATGGCCACCGCGGTGGTTGGGGTGAGGTGGTGTTGGGGTCCCATCACTGTGGCTGGGGTGTCTGGGACCCGAAGAGCTGCATTCCTGTGCCACGGAGCAGTTGAGCGCTCGGATGTGGAGCCTCTGTCTGCTGGAGGCAGCCTAAGGAGGACAGCGAGGTGTGGGAGCCGCTTGGGACCGCGGCGGGGCACAACCCTCCTCCGAGCTGCTGCTCACAGCTCTTCCCTTCTCGCTTCCCTTACAGAGCACTACAAACACCACTGGTTTCCTGAGAAACCCTTCAAAGGCTCTGGGTATCGCTGCATCCGCATCAACCACAAAATGGACCCCCTTATCAGCAAGGCAGCTAGCCACATCGGACTCAGCCTCTCACAGCTCTACCAGCTCCTGCCCAGCGAGCTCACGCTCTGGGTGGACCCCTACGAGGTCTCATACCGCATCGGGGAGGACGGCTCCATCTGTGTCTTGTATGAAGCAACTGCAACAAAACCAGGCAGCTCCTATGGGGTGCTCACCTGCAAGAACCAGCTGATGTTGGGTCGCACCAGTCCTTCCAAGAACTACATCATGACTGTCTCCAGCTAAATACTCTTGTCTGTACACTGCCAAGACACAGGCTACTGTATACCTCACGCGAGGATCTATTTTGAAGATGAAGAGCTATTTATATTTTTTAAAAAAATTCCAAGAAAATCCATAATTAAAATATTTGGGCACCGCTTCGGGCTGGAGTGGTGTCTTTAGGTGCCTTTTTTAAAGCTGTTGCAAGCTGATGAGTTTTTATTCTGAAGCCGATATCTACCTAATTAGTGTTGGATGGTCATTTGGGGCTGGTTTGGTCACTTGGGCAGCTTGGAATGGAGGATGAGGGGGAAGAGCCAGGCTGGGAAGTGTGGCTTGGTGGTGGCTCATTCTGTGTCACCTTTTTGCCACCCCGGTACCCAACACTGTTGCTGTATTGCAATAGTATTGGGGAAAGGATGAAGGAGTTGCTGTCTTCCCTCTGCTAACTTGACTTCTCAGCTGATCTGCTCTCTCTGGGGCCTCACCTCAGGGCTGGGTGATGCTGGGGACCCTGGATCCCTCTCTTTTGCCTTTGCACATCTCTGGACCCACTTTGTAAGTATTGCAGCTCTGCTCTGCCCCACTCCCAGCACAAAGTGAGGGGGACCGTGGCCTGCCTCCATCCCCTCCGTCTTTCCTATCTGCTGCTGAAAGGGGCCACGTGGGTACCTGTGTCCTGTGAAGTGGAGCAAGGCAGAGATGCTCTGGGGCTCAGGCTGTGCAGAGGAGGTCCCCAGGATGAATACTGGAGCACTGCTGGGTCCTGGTGCTCCCTGGTACCTGAATCATTGAGCAGCTGTGAATTACAAAGCCTTTCTGCTATGTGCAGCTTAGACACCAGCCCATGACCCACACTACTCTTGTGTGGCCTCCTGTGAAAGCTGCCTAATCCAATGCTGATGACTTTGCCGAGTCTTCTCCAGAAGAGCTGAAGCAGCTCGCCTTGTGCTGTGGAGGTTGGTGTGTGAGACCCCCCCTTTTCCCTTAATCAGAAGTACTTGGGGGGAGGGGGGTGTGTGTCTCTTCCCCCTCTCTTTGGGTGATTGGATGCTTTGGTGTCCTAACGCTGCTTTTAAAGTCACAGCACTTCCTTCTCCTCCCGCAGTGGGTGATGCGGCCAGCCCTGGGAGCTGTCTCCGCTGACCCCTTGGTAAGGGGCATCACTTGGTTCTGAGCTCTTGGTACACAAGTTTGGCACAATTAATGCCTGCTCCTGTGCTCTGTCTGTTCAGGCAAGCCTCCTCTTGTAGTCCCAGGGGTGCTGGTCTTCAGGGAGACTCTGCCCCAGTGCTGGTCAGGATTTGGCCTTTAGACCTACAATGGGGTAGGAGCTGAAAGTGCTGCCCCAGGAGCTTGACCTATTGGGATTGAGCCTTTCCCAGGGTGTTTTGTGTCTGTTGCCTTTTTACTTACCAGCTCCTCCAGCAATCCTGCATTGAGGAAGCAGGACCTGGCCATGGTGGCTGTAATGAAACTTCCCCAGCTCTGTCTCTCAGCCCATGGGTTTTAACCTCCCTCTTCTCTGACCTGGCACTGCCTGGTGTAACCAGAGTCATTCTTGCCCAGCCTTGGATGAATCAAGTTCTCAGACGTTTGTGCAATATATTTCCACCTCTTGGGTGCTCTGGGAGAGGAAGGAAGTCTCCAGCCACCACGGTCATTAGCTTGGGTTTTCGTAGGTAAGCACAAGTCCCCATCTCTGACCCCCTAAAGGAAGCTCAGCTCCTTGTAAGCCTCAAATCCTGACTTCCAGACCTGGAAAAGCAGCCCTTGGGAAATGTCAAGTGGGGGAGTTGTTTGTCCTTGGAACGGCAATAGCAGACGGTGGCTCTGGGGTTGCATCACTTCCCTCTGCATCACTTGAATTTCTCCCATCAGCAAAGCTGAACTGAAGCACTTGGGGTTTTTCCCTTGGTGAACTTGTGCAATAGGTGACCTCACCGAGAGCGGAGCACTTGGGAGCTTGCAGAAAGCCATCTCCCTTTCCAAGGAAAAGGGATCTTGGTGCTTCTTGAACCTGCTCACATGGAAAGCCCGTGGTGAGAGCTGCAGGCAGTGTTTGCTTTGCTGGACCCCTTGGTGATGGGGAGTTTCCTGAAGGCTGGTACTTCCTCGGGTTCTTGTTTCTCATGTTCCTCCTTCTGACTCCTTTCCCTTCCTTTTCCCAGAAGAGCTCTTCAGGAGCAGGCCACACCAAAGGAATCCACTAGAATTGCCCTTAACATGCCCTCACTTCCACAGCTAAAATAGCCAAGGCTCCTTTTTGTCCCTGGTGTGGAGGAGCCTCATGGTAAAGGTGTTGGATTTTGGCTTCAAACCCCAAACTGGGGGTATGACCCATTCCTCTCTTGTAGCTGGTTAAAGCTGTGAATTGCTGTTCTCTTGCCTTCTGCCTCCAAGCCTGATGCTCCACCGTGGTGCTGAGTGTGTGTGTATGGAGACAATGGATTGGAGGGATTCCCTGGTGGGGTTTTTACCAGCTGGACTGTTGACCGGGACCTGCTTTTGTATGGGGTGCAAATGGGGAGTGAGTTTGTAAAGCTACGCGTGGAGGGCTCCTCTCACTGTACAGTCGTCTTTTTATATCCAGAACTTACAGATCCTTTGTCAGATGCTTTTGTTACTTTAATAAATATGTAGCAGCATAAATGAGCCATGGTTTCGTGTTGGAAGCTGGGGAAGCTCGGGTGAGGGTTGGGATTGCAGCCCAAATCCCACGCTCGGGAGTGCTGTGGGCTTGGCTCAAGTGTGGGTGACTCCTAACGTCGACTGTGTCAAGGAGCTTTAGAAAGAAGCTGCTTAGTCAACACGCTGATCCTCACCCCGACCCTCCGAACCCATGGAATGAAGGCTGGGAATGGGTCTGGTGACTAACACGGGGCTGTGGGTGTCCTGCCCTGTGCTGACTGCAGGGTTCTGGCTTGGGGAGCAGGAATCCGGTGTCCTGCCAAGGCGTGAGGGTGGTGTGTAGTCAACTGCCCAACCGTGGGAATGGCACCAATGCAGCAATTAATGACCTGAGAGTGGTGCAGGGGCAGGTCCTGGCTCAGCAGCCCTGAGGAATCCTCGGCAGAGGAAAGGTGAGGGATCACGGGGCTCAACCACTCAAGCCCATGGAGGATGCTCTGGGCCTGTCACGGCAAAGGCAGCTGGGTTGATTCACAGCAGATCCTGTTTTGGCTGCATGGAGAGGCCATGACTGCAGCCTTGCTTGCTCAGGTGGGGATGTGCAGCTTGTGCTCAACCCCTCTCTCCTCTCCTCTTCAAGCTGACCTCATCTAAAGCCTTTCTCTAAACCATCTTGGGCTGGTTTCAGCCCCAAACTCCGTTTTTATGGAGGTTGGGAGTGCTTAAATCACATCACAGCCTGGTGGGTTCCTTGTGCCTTGGGGGGCATGGCCCTGTCCCCAAGTGGGGGCAAAGCTGCTTTGGTCATAGTGTGCCAGCCCCGAGAGGAAAACAGCCCATGGGGTGATCTCTGCTCCTGTCTGAGCTCAGCCCTTCATTAGCTCCCATGAGCACACCCCAATTGCTGCTGCCGGTGGAACAGGGATGGCAGGAGGAGCTGGTGTCCCAGGAGTTATCCCGGTTCAAAGGCTGGGTGAGGGCAGAGGATAGTGGCCTTCCTGCCTCTGGCCTGGCAGGACCAGTGTATGGTGCTCTGTGACCCATCGTGCTGTGGTCCCTTCCTGGCATCTGGGGCAGCATCACTGAAAAGGTGAGATAAAAATACAGCTCTTACACCATGGAGCATCCCGTGAGGAGTCAACCAGCCCCTGGCAGCCTTTTAGTAACTGACTCAGCTTCTATTCTTAGTTTGCTCATCATTTTCCTGCTGGCAGGATCCCTGTTCCTGGTGTACAGGCTGGGTTAGTACCAGGGGGAGCTTCTTTATCTGCCCGCCCCCTCCACCACAAGTTCTTCCTAAGCCTAAGAGCTCATCCCAGTCTCCCCTCTGGCAGGTTAAAGCCATTGCCCTTATCCTGTCCCTACATCCCTTGTCCAAAGCCCCTCTCCAGCTTCCTTGTGGCCATCCCCATCCCTACCCATCCATCCCAGCCCCCTCCCCGGTGCTGGGACCGGCTCCATCCGTCTCCTTTACGACCTGATGGGGGGGGGATAAAAGGGGTTTGTTGGCAGCAGCAACTGGGTCATGGGGACAACCGCTGCCATCTGCGCGCCGGGGCCGGGTGCTGGTGCTCCTTTCACGCACCACTGAACTTTGCACCTTTTGTTTCCCGGGGAGCAGAGCGGCCCCAGCAGCGCACGGGTCAGGGCAGGGCTCGCCGGGGGGGCTGGCGCCTCTTGTTCAGTGGGATAATAGCGGTGGTTGTGATTTAGGGGGCTGCGGTGTTGGGTAACGCGGTGCTGAGCGCCGCCAGTGCCCCCACGCTGCACCCGGCAGCACAAGGTGCCCTGGCATTGTGCTGCGGCTGCTGGTGCTCACTGGCGAGCATCCAACCACAAAGGGTGCTGTGGCCATGTCCCCAAGGGGTGCCATGACCCTGGTCCTTGAGGGAAGGCCATGCCCGTTGTTCCTGAGGAGCACGAAGCCCCTTGTCCCCAGGGATGCCATGCCCCTTGTCCCTAAGGGATGCCATGCCCCTTGTCCCCAAGGGATGCTGTGCCCCTTGTCCCTAAGGGATGCCATGCCCCTTGTTCCCAAGGGATGCCATGCCCCTTGTCCCCAAGGGATGCTGTGCCCCTTGTCCCCAAGGGATGCCGTGCCCCTTGTCCCTAAGGGATGCTGTGCCCCTTGTTCCCAAGGGATGCCATGCCCCTTGTTCCCAAGGGATGCCATGCCCCTTATCCCCAAGGGATGCCGTGCCCCTTGACCCTAAGGGATGCTGTGCCCCTTGTCCCTAAGGGATTCCGTGCCCCTTGTTCCCAAGGGATGCCGTGCCCCTTGTCCCTAAGGGATGCCGTGCCCCTTGTCCCTAAAGGATGCCATGCCCCTTGTTCTCAAAGGATGCTGTGCCCCTTGTCCCTAAGGGATGCCGTGCCCCTTGTCCCTAAGGGATGCCATGCCCCTTGTCCCTAAGGGATGCTGTGCCCCTTGTTCCCAAGGGATGCTGTGCCCCTTGTTCCCAAAGGATGCTGTGCCCCTTGTCCCTAAGGGATGCCGTGCCCCTTGTCCCTAAGGGATGCCGTGCCCCTTGTCCCTAAGGGATGCTGTGCCCCTTGTTCCCAAGGGATGCTGTGCCCCTTGTCCCTAAGGGATGCCGTGCCCCTTGTCCCTAAGGGATGCCATGCCCCTTGTTCCCAAGGGATGCTGTGCCCCCATCCCTGAGGGATCCCCTACCCTGGCAGCAGCAATGAGGAGAGAGCAGGGGATGGTGGGAGCAGCCAGAGGCTGTCCCGGGGCTGTTTGTGCTTCCTCATGGAGCAGTGCCTGGGCTTTGTTCAGGACTTGGAGCCATCACCTGCTTCCTGCTGAGCCCCGGCTCCCGGCCCAGCCTGGAGCTGGGAGCTGGGACGAGCCCTGCGTGTCCTGGAAGCACGTTTCCCAGCTCCGAGGAGGGATCATGGCACTGACCCAGGAAGGGCTCATGGGGCCACATCAACTACAGCGGCAGCGTGCAAGGAGCTGTGAGTCCCCTGCCAGCCCCATGGCCCAGAAGGAGAAGGATTTAAGGGTCTGAGCCTCAGGACCCAACAGCTCATGTCAGGAGGTGCTGGAGCATCCCTCAACAGGGCTGGTACCTGCCCCGTCCCCTCTGCCGGGGCCTCTCATCCCAATGGGAATCCCTGGGAGCTGTCGGGGTCAACGGCAGGGGGATGCAACAGCCTCTCCTCTGGGGAGCCTCCGGGAAACGTGTTATTGGGAACAGGCTGGAGGCAACAATATCCCTAAGCCCCGCTTGTCGCCGGCATTCCCAGCTGCCAGACGAAGGGCGAGGCCCATTTTCCCCCTGACAATGCCCTTTTACCAGGGAGTTTGTTTCTATTATAGCACGGGATAAAGCAGAGCAGGAGAAGGCTGGGGCTGGAGCGGAGCAGCTGCCCCTGCTGCCTCCTCCAGGGCTTTGTTGTGAGTTAAAAGGCCATGCCGGGGCTCAGACACCCTATACGGTCCCATAGAGCATCCCCTCCTGCTCCCCATGGGGGGCTCTGCAGAGGGACGGGCTGGGATCTGCCCCTCCTCAGGCACAGACCGTGTGTTGGGGGTGCTTAGAGGAGCCTGGTGGGGGCCCCTCTGCCAGTGTGAGGGGCACTGAGCTTTCCTCTTCCTTCCTTTGTCCCCTTTGGAATGACTGCTGATGGGGTTCAGCTGCAGCCCCAGGGCCATGCTCCTGGAGCCTATGAAGGGTTGGGGTGTCAGAGCAATGACCCCCCCCCCCTTCAGAAAGGGATGGAGTGATGCTGAGCCCGTGCCCCACATGCAGGGCACGGGGCTGGGACGTGGAGCAGGGACAAAGCCTGGCTTGGTATTTCCCGCACGTGCTGCGGGACAGATGGCAGTGGAACAAAAGGGGAGGCAAGAATGGGAGCTGAACAGATCGGGAATGTCCTGCCCCAGCCCCAGAATCCCATCTCCATTTGCTGCCCATGTGGAGCAGCAAGAGCAGGACCCCCCTGTCCCTGAGAGCGTCAGTCTTGTCCCTGTGAAACGGGCTCGTCCCTTGGGATCCTGCTGTTGTGCCGGCCCCTTTTCCCGCTGCCTCGGCGCTTTCCTTATCTCTTCCCATGGGCTGGATCCAAGCAGCTGGTTAATGATCAACCTTTACTGCCCTTTGCAGCCGTGGTGGTGGCACCGTGACCCGGCCGCCGGCCCCTTTGTCCCCTCCACTCAGCCAAGGTTTGAGGTGAAGAACTGAGCAAAGGGAAGCACAGGGATGGGGCTGTGCTGGAACCCACGTCCCTGGATGGGGCAGTTGGGGCAAAGCCGTTTTCCAAAGGGGAAAAAAACTTCCAGGGGTGGTTGTTAAGTGCAAATCCTGTGCTTCCCTTCCCAGGGAAACGTGTTCCTGAAGGGAGGTTTGTAAAGGGCTTGGCAAGGGTTTGAGCTGCAAAGGGATAAAGTGAAGGAATGTGGGGGGAAAGAGGCTGGAAAGAAGCAGAGAGGAAATATGGGGGGGGGGGGGGGGAGGGAATCCTGCCCATCCTTATGGGAATGCTGAGGTTTGGGTCTCATGCAGGGACAGACACAGGGTGATGGGGGGGGTCAGCAGCTGCTGGTTCCTTCTACGGGAGCCCCACAAAGCCTCAGTGCTGGGGCACAGCCCCAAGGGGCCGGGGGAGCTCTTTGTGTTGGTTGGTTTGGGGTTTCCCCCCTCCTTTGTGCTGCTCTGTGGGTCTGCACAAAGCCCTGAGCTTCCCCCTTCCTCCTCCTCCTCCTCCTTCCCGGTGGGATGCAGGCAGTGGGGCCCCCTGGACACTGCATCCCCTCCCAGCAACAGGAGGAGGGGGATGAGGAGGGGGACGAGCCAGCCCCACCACAACAAGGTGGTGATTGGGCACTCCTGGGCTCGGCCAGGACCAATGGGGCCTGAATGGTGAGAAGTGGGGCAGGGGGAACTGACCCCATCACCTCCACCCTAAGGGATGCAGGGCCCCAGCTGGTGTAAATCAGCAATCCCGGTGTGGATAAAGCAGCAACGAGTGGCTGCTGCTCTTGGGGTTTGCTCTGCTGGGAGTGGACCCTGCTGCTGGGTCGCTATGGAGGGGATGGGTTTGTTTTAGGTGGAGCCTGCAAGCCTCATCCCCTGCTGCTCCTGAAGGGATGTGGTTGGTGTGGGGTTGGGGGCTGCAGCTCTGGTTTGTCCCCTTCCCACCCGGCCTGCTGGGTGCTGCCCACAGGAAGAGGAGGATGATGATGGGCTGTGGTACCCATTGGAGCCGTCCTGCCCTGGAGCTGCAGGGCTCTGGGACATCCCGAGGGAGCTCAGCACATGGCTCTGCTCTCCCTATCCCAAAGCAGGATCGGGTTTGCCTCTCCCTGAACCCTTTTTCCCAGTGGGAGCTGATTTCACCCCATGTCTCAGCCCAGCTTCACCCAAGCAAGTGCTGCCTGCGATGGGCACCCATGGGTGCTATGGTTTTGGCCAGAGCCACCCTTCCAGCCTGGACAGGACCATGTGTGAGCGGCAATGCTGGCATCTAGTGACAGCCCCTGGGGCTGGCTGGGTGTGCAGTGGGATCCCTTTGGTTTGGGATCCAGGAGAACGTGAAAGCATCCCAAGAATGGGGACCAGAAGCATTGTGCCGGCGGTGCCGCCATCCCTTCCCTCGCAATCAACGCTTTTCCATGTGTGGAATATGCACGGATCCATGCGGGATGCGCTGGAGCAGCAGCTCCTCACTGTGGGGAAGGCGGTTGCTGCACATATCCTGGCTGGTGCAACCAATCCAGCCTGGAGAAGCTCTGGTGTGCAGGAGCCGCCCCCATTCCCAAACTCTGGCATCTGCTTTTGGGATTCCTCAGACACGGTGCGTGCACTTACAGAAAGGGCTTTATTGGGGGGTATGAGATGTAGAGCTCATGCGCCGGTGGTAGCACAGGGTTGGCTTTGTGCCTAGTGTCAGCATGCAGTTTAAATGCGGAGGGTCTTGGGTGACCTCTTGCAGGTCAGCCCCAAAGCTCAGCTGCCCCTTTGGTTCCCAAACTAAAGTGTCCAAGGAACCAAGTCACTGCAATGGTGTCGTTATGGATGTTGTAACTGGGAGACCATGGAGCTGGGGGTGATGGCACTGGGAATTGCCTCATCCCATGAGCCTGGGCCTGCCCTGAACTGGTGGCCTGGGGGAAGGTGTGAGCCTCCCTTGGGGGCTGTCTCTCAGGGTGTTGCTCTCCAGCCTCAGAGTTTCTCCTTTATCTCTGGAGCAGATGGAATGGGGAAAGAAATAGGGGAAAGAGTGGATTTGCTCTTCCCCATCCAAGACTGAGGGATGCTGGGGTATTTTAACCCTTTTCATCTCCCAACCTCCTGATGCTGCTCCCGGGGCCCGCAGGCTTGGGGGGAGTCCTTTTGGATCTGGTGGGTCTGCAGGACCCAAACCCCTCCCCATGGGGTCAGATGCTCGGTGCTGTGTTTGGCGGTGGGATGAGCTGCATCCCATCACGCTGCATCCTACCCAGACCAGGGAGAGAAGGTGAATGGGTGCATCACTTTTGGGGGGGTCAGAGGGGAAATGTCCCACTCTGTGTGGCCAGAGAGCTGGGAAGAGGGAGCAGATGGGGGACAAGAGCTCCTGTGAGCTGGTGTTGGAGCACCCGGACTGTGCTGCTGCGGAAGCCAAGTCAAACCGTGTCAAGCTGCATTGAACAGGGGTGAGGATCTCCCGGGAAGGGGGGGAGCCAAGTCCTGAGCTGGGGAGGTGCCCGGGGCCGGGTTAGATCTCGATGATGGTGGCTCGGCGCAGGCACAAGGGCGCGTCGGGGGGCACCGCGTTCCGCTTGATCTCGTTCCCATCCAGCCGCAGGACCTGGAGCCTGGAGTAGTTCATGACATCCACCACGGTGCAGAAGCTGCTGATGGAGAACTCTGCAGGGAGAGGGGAGATGGAGAGCTCAGAACAGGCTGCAGCCCCGGCCCCTGTGCTGTGCCTGAGTGAGGTGAGAAGTGTCAAGGGGGAGATGCTCAGGAGATGGGTCTGAGGGTACCGACCTCAGAGCTGCTTTATCACAGAATCCCAGCCTGGTTTGGGAAGGGACCTTAAAGCTCCTCCAGCTCCAACCCCCTGCCGTAGATACAGACACCTTCCACTACAGCAGCTTGCTCCAAGCCCTGTCCAACCTGGCCAGGGATGGGGCAGCCACAGCTTGTCGTGATTTAAGCCTCTGAGGCTTCGCACGCTGCATCCTGCAGGCTCGGGCACTGCGTAGCACGTCCAGGAGGTTGGACATCCCTGTCCCCACCCCATGCCCGCAGGCATCCCCTTTCCAGGCCCCACTGAGGGATGCTCCGTCCCAATCCGGGGCTGGCTTCGGGGGGATGGAGGGGATGGAACCAGCTCCAAATGCTTTGTGTAAGGTTTGGGCGAGAAGCGACCGCCTAGATGGCAGCAGAGCTCCAGCCCGGCTGCTACCGGGGCAGGCAGCGGCTGCTGCGGGACCCCTGCATCGGGCTGGGGGCTCCGTGGTGCTTCCATGGCATTTATGGGCAGACGTTAACAGCTACAGAGGGCAAACACTTGGGAATCTGCTCGTGGATTCGTGTTTCCCTGCTCCCTGGGTCGAGCGTTCCCTCTGCAGCGCCCCATGGCTGCCCTGACGCATCCCTGTCCCCATCCCAAGGCTTGCTCTGGGGGTCCTGCACTGCACCGGGATGATCCTGCCCTCGGCAGATGAGAGCAGAAAACCTGGATTTTCCCAGGATTCTGCTTGGCTGGGTTGCTTTTTTTTTTTTTTTTTTTTTTCCTGGCTTATTTTTATAACCAGCAGCCCCAGAACAATCTGTTCCTTTTATTTATTTGTGTATTACACGGAGGGAATTCTGGCCCTGGCAGAAGATGCTGCATTCACGGCTCTAATAACCCAGAGCTCCCGTCTGTCCCAGCCCTGGCAGGGATGTGTCCCCTGCCTGCAGACCCAGCCCTTGGAAGGGGTTTGGGGCTATGGGCTGTGCTGGTGCCCTGCAGGGTGCTGGTGCTGCTCCATCCCTGTCCCCTGCATTAGCACTGGCCAGGGGGATGCTCATTCCCATGTGTAGTGACCACGGGGCCCTCCCCACCTCTGGCTGCTCTGTTGGTGATGGGTGCGATGCTGAGCTAAAGGTGAAGTCCCCTCCCCGGGCTGGGCATCAGCTTCTACCCCCAGTTTCTGTTCCCTAACCAGGCCTCTGCTGAGCGCTCAGCAAAACCAGTGCGGTGCTGTGCATCGCTGCTGTGTTGTACTGGGACACATGGGGCAGTGTTCCTGCCTTGCTGAGGGCCATCCCGAAGTCTCCCAGATTCCAGCTTCCTGCTCATTGCCGCAAGCAGTGCCCCATGGGGAGGTTCTGCATCCCCATCTCCCCATCCCACCACCATCCCCTGCTCCTCCCTGCTTTGGTGGATGGGTTTTTGCTCACCGTTGATTTGGTTCCCTTGCAGGTAAAGGTTCTCGAGGTTGGTGCTGACCCGGGGGATCTTCTGGAGCCTGTTGTAAGAGAGATCCAGCTCCAGGATGCTGCTGCTGTTGAACGTGTTGGTGGAGAGACCTTGGTTTGTCAGGCTGTTGTGGGACATCCGTACATAGAGCAGCTTGGGAGAGACCTTGAAATAGTCATCGGGGATGGTGTTGATGTAGTTGTACTCTAAGTAGAACTGTTCCAAAGCCATCGGGAGCCCGTCGGGGACTTTCCTGAGGTGGTTGTAGCTCAGGTCAGCGAGGATCAAGGACTTGAGCCCTTTGAGGGATGCTCCCATCTCAAAGATGTAGTTGTGGCTGAGGTACAGGGCCGTGAGGTTCTCCAGTCCCTCCAGGGCATTGGAGGGCACCTTGGAGATCTGATTGTAAGACAAGTGCAGCTCCCTGAGGGACCGGGGCAAGGGGCTGGGCATCTTGGTCAGGTTGTTGTTGTTCATGTAGAGCCTCTCCAGGCTTTTGAGCTTGGCAAACACCCTCTTGCCCATCTTCTCGCTGGAGATGCGGTTGTTGTGCAGCGCCAACCACTCCAGCTCCGTGGCGTTGTCGAAGGCTCCCTCTTGGATGGCGGTGATGAGGTTGTTCTGGAAGTAGACGTACTTCATGCGGGAGGGCACGAAGGGCAGGTACCTCAGGTTCCGGGTGTCGCAGTACATGGCTGAGGAGAAGTTGGGGGGACAATCGCACTCTTGGGGACACTGCCAGGAAGATGCTTGCTGTGGTTCAGGCCCGGGCTCTGCCTCCGTGTCCGGAGCTGGCAGGTAGGAGTACACATAAGGGGTGTTCTCATCCTCATAGTAGGGCACGTAGTTATAGGAGGACATCCGGGACTGCCGCATGTAGTACTGCAACCAAGCCATGTCTTCTTCTTCATTGTACTGGCCCAGGGAGGCTCCACAGAGCCCAGCGAGGATGAGGATGGGGGCCCAGTGCATGGTGCTGGTGCTGGAGGGACCTGGGTGGGGGGAGAAAAGAGGAGGAACCCATCAATGGCATCAGGGATGGAGGCAGCTGAGCTGCACCTTGTGTCCCAGGGCTCCAGTGGGGTTGGAAGTGACCATAGCCCTGCGTGGGGTTGGTGGCGCTTGGAAGCAGAGCTGGAAAACCCAGGGACCTGAAGGAATCCTACCCGAAGATGTGGCTGCAGACATGGCCCGTGGCTGCAGACATGGCCCCTGTTTGCAGGTACCTGATTGTCCCCCTTAGGCCTGCTAGAAACCTCCATCCCAGGGGGTATTTGCTTGCAACCCCTTTACTTGAGGGTATGTGGGATACAGCTGAGGATGGAGATACAGCACACGTGGTCTGAAGCTGCGCAAGGACACCAGGGGTGCCTGGGATGCACGTGCACTGGCTCTGCATGGGGAGGAGGGTGGGAGCTGCAGGAGCAGGCTGCTGGAGCTCAAGGCATGTGTTGGTGCAGCTCTATTTATGCTCTGCTGGCTTTGCTGTGGGCTTCATCCAGCTCTCCCTTCCCCCGTGGCAGCGCAGGATGCTCTCGCTGCTGCTGTGGATCCTGGTAAACAGCCCCTGCTTTTCTGGAGGGAAATCACTTCCAAGCTCTCACTTCCCAAGAGGAAAAGGGGCAGCAGCCACCGGCCCCTTGAGGCCAGGTTAACCAGGAGCCATCACCAGACCTGGTGCTTGGACCCTGCCGAGGGCTCACAGCCAGGGCAGAGCAAGGCAAACCCCATCCCTGAGCCCCTTGGCTTGGGTGGGCTCTGCTGATGCCCTGTGCCGTACGCAGGGTGCTGTGCCCAGCACACCACAGGAGGCTCCAGCTCATCCCAGCTCCTCATCCCAGAGCAGACAGAGCAGCCTTGGAGCTTGAAATCCCTCCAGGAAATACATGGGCTGTGCTGCTCCTGCCCGCTGGCTCCTATAGACGTGGCTGGAGCACAGAGCTCTGGGGCTGCTGGTGCATCGCTGCCAGCTCCTGCTCCTGCCTTGCAGGACACGTGGCCGCTGGGTGCTCCTCACCATGCTGGGTGGCAATGGGGTATCTGGATGGGACTCCCCCCCCGCCATGTCCTCACCCTGCACTGAGGAGGGATGTCCTGCCTGGCAAAGAGGGCACCGTGTGCTCCGAGGCTGCCCTGCCACCGAGGCACCCTGGCAGGCTGCTTGGGCTGGAGGCAAAGCAGGATTGGGGTGGTGGCAGGCAGGGATGGCTCCCATGCATCCTCCTGCTCTCCCTCCTTCCCCCTTCACTGCTCCTGCAGCCCAGGAACAGATGAGATGTGGTCCTCCGGGATGCAGTGTGCGACTGGGGAGCTTGGCAGGCACTAAAGAGCTCCCGCTCCAGAGCACTCTGCCTGATGGACTGCACTGTACTGAGCTGCTTGGGGGGGGACAGACACCCTCTGTGCAGGGTAGGATGGATCCATGGGGTCCCTCCTGCTGTTCTCATGCCCCCCTTCAACACAGTGGTAACCTCAGAGCTTGTCCTCAGCATCGCTTCGTTGGAAGGATGCTTCTCCCCACCCTGGTGGGGTGGGATCTGAGCTGAGGGTGCTGGGCACTAAATCCATGTCACCTCTTGGTGTTCCCAGGCTAATGGGGTCAGCTCCTCTCCCTGAGAGGGAGCAGGGTTTGGAGCAAGGGGCTTCCTGGTCTGTGGCCATCCATGGACCTGTCCCATTGCCGCTGTGCTGGGCATGAAACCAGCCCCCCCCCCCAGCAAAGGCAATGGGCAGAGCTGGGGTGGGTATTGATATTGATGGCTATGGGCATCCAGCTCCCAGCCCAGTGGACAGCCGGAACGGGCATCCCCGCCTCGAGCTGTGCCACCCGTGTGGCTGGCATGTGGATGGAAATCGGGCTTCAAACACCACATCCAAAACCCCATCATAAATGCAGGGACTTACCGAGGTGAGAGCCGCTGTTCCAACGCCTCGCTGCTCTGCTGCGGGATGGCCGGGCTGTCCAGCAGCATGGGATGTGTCTCCCCCTTCGCAAAGGCTGGTGCCTGCCCTCGATCCCAACTCAAATATTGTGCTTGTGGTCAGGGCAGGGTGTTTTTGGGGGAGTGACCTCCCGGCAGCAGGCAGTTTGCAGGAGAGACTGGAAGAGACCCTAACGCTGCTGGCGTTATAAATAACCTGCTTCTTCTTTCCTCCCTCCTCTCCCTCCCTCCCGTCTTTTCTCATAGGAGTGTTGGCACTTTCCAGGCTCCCTCTGTTTAACAAGTTAGTGGAATCGGGGATGTTGTTTTGAAGAGGGCTCTTGTCAGGTCTCCTGTGTTTCTCATCAGGAGGCCTGGGGCCACGATTGAAGTGGATCTGATTTGGAGGTGCTGAGGATGGGATTCTCGGGGAGAAGGGGGGGGGATTCTCTTTTGCAGCACCAGGAGTTGGTGCCGGCTCTGCCTCAGCCCCGTTTATGCAAGTCCTGCCATGAAATATTTAGGATAAACATTTCCATGCACGATAAGGCTGCGGCATCCAAAGTAAATAAATTGCCTACCCAAGGGCCGCTGTGACAGCAGGAATCTGTCTGCAGCTTGGCAGGAGGGAGATGCCAGCCTGGCATCCCTGCAGGCTCTGCCCATCTGCCTGGAACGGGGCTGATGCAGGGGTAGGTACGTGGGGACAGGGCAGGGGTGACCCATGGCTGGGCAGAGACACCAGAGCTCATGGCTGGGCAGAGACACCACACCTCCCAGTGCCAGCCTTGCCCTGGGGGTACCCAGTGCTGTTGCAGCCCCCCCCCCCCCTCCAGTCCCCATCCTCCTCTCAGTGCACTTCAACTCTGGAGGCAGCCCTGCAAAGCATTTCCTCCCACCAGGAAAGGAAAGGAGGAGCCCCAACCACCCACCCATCCCGTGCCCGGGTCCTCCCAGGAGCCTGGAATCACTTGGAGAAGCTCCGCCGGTGCCAGGCTCCCCCCGGGCTTGCTTTCTCCTTGCTTTCCACTGAGATTTCCCAGCCAAAACATCCTCTTCCCCTGGGGAGCCTTGCAAAGATTCTTATCCCTTCGGAAGGCCCTTGTTTTAAGGAGAAGGAATGCACAGGGTGGCTGAGGGACATGCTGTACAGTGGGGACTTTGCCAGGAAGCTGGGCTATTTGGGAAGGACGAGTGTGCCTGGAAAGCACAGCTCGCTGCACCGCAGCACGGCGCTGGGATCTGCAGGGAAAGGATTCAGAGAAAGCCTTGGAGTGGGAAAGGAGGACAAGGAGGGTAGCACTGCCTGAAAGGAGGTAAAGCCCTGGTGAAGTGTGTGTGGGGCCCATTTGGCTGGTAGCATCTCTTCTACCCCATCGAGCACTGCTGTGGTGTGGGATGGAGGCGGACTCTCACCAAGGGCAGGGAGGTGGTTGGAAGCTGATGCAGAGAATGACCCTGCTTGGAGGGGTTTATTCCCGCTGCCAGGAAGCTGTATTCCAGGGAAGACGGTGGGGAGGGTGGTGGCAGCCAGTAACATCTGCTGCTCGGCGCTGGGATGGTGTCAACCAACGTCACATCTCTGGCAGCTCATGGGGTCCCGGTGGCCAACAGCTTGGAGGCTTTCACAGGGCTTGGATGTTGCTCTGGAAAAGCAGATAGTCCTCAGCCAGGTCAGATAAGGAGCACGGCTTCTCCAGCTTCTGGAAGTTAAAACAGTGATGACCCGGGACGTGCACCCTTTGAGGGATGCTGTCCTGCAGCATCCGCTGGGGCCAGGCACTCACAGTGGGTACCAGGGGCTGGTGGTCCCCTGGGGAGCCAAACTCACTGTGAAGCCCCAACCTGAGGCCGCAATAGGAGCAGGCAGGGCAACGGGGTCCTTCAGGGATACAGGGATCATTGGGGCCTGTTGGGCACTGTGTTGGCTGTTCTGGGTGGAGGGAACACGCTCAACCTCCGCACCAAGTCCTACAGCCTCCTCTCCGAAACATATCCCAACGCCAAAAGCAGGGCGAAGCCTCCCTTGACCTCCCTTCTCACCCCGGCCTCCCTTGTCCCTTCCTTCTCTTTCAGCAACACATTCTTCAGCCCAAACAACATTCTTGGACCAAGATTTGAGGCAATCTGGAGGGAGTGGGTCACTCGGAGGCGGTGCGACTGCTGGAAACTCTTGCCTGAGGCCAGCGGGGCGATGCTCCTGTGTGTCAGCACAGGGCGATGCTCCCGGCATCACCCACTTGCCATAGGACATGCTTCATAGCTTCCCTTGGGTGCAGTGAGCTGCCAGGACTCAGCCCAGGCTTTCCCTGGCTAGTGATGAATGCAGCCCTCGGATGGGAATCCTTGCCCTGTCTGCTCCCTGCTGCAGGATGCTCAGGGTTGTGAAATCGCATCCCATGCCCCAGCCCGTGCCGTGGGGCTCCAAAACAGAGCTCACACCAGAGAGGTGCCTTGGCACTAAAACTAAGCCAGCTCCTGGTTCTCACCCATGTCCCTTTGCTGCTGCTCTGTCCCCATGCCCTGGCTGTGCTACGTGTACCTGGTGTCACCTGCAGAGCAGCCCCATCCTTGCTCATCCATCCCATTGTGGTCCAGCAGCGACTGGGGCTGGGCTGTGCAGTAGCCACAAACACCTCCACTTTGCCTCCACATCTCTTTGGGGGGGGGGCACAGGGGAGGGTGACCAAACCCCACATTGCCCCCTGCAGACCTGGTGCCACTGCCAGCGCTGGGAATGCTGGTTTGGCTTGGGAAGCCTTTGCCCCATCCCACTGTAATTACAGGCTGCCTTTGGGGATATGGAGCTGCGTGTAATAACTCCCTGGTCTCTTGGGGTCTGCGGGTTATTATAGGGTGGACTCAACCCTCCCAGACCTCAGAATGTCCCTGTGGCCTGTTCCATAGCTCCCAGCCCCATAGACATGGCTCGGGATCTCCATTGCTCTCAGTGTGCGCTCTCATCCCTATAAACCCAAATGCACTGGATTTCCTCAATCTCCATCCATGGGCTTCCCGTGCAGCGTGGCTGGGAGAGGCTGCCTCAGCACAAAGAGGGTCAGGGCTTATTACCACCACTGTAAAAATGTGTTTGAAAAGGTTAAGGGCTTAATTTGGAGCAGAGCTGGAAACTATGAAGCGTTTCCTCATCGTGTCGCTGCCTCGCCTGTCCCTGGACACATGCTTTGCACTGCTGACATCTCCATGGACAACGGAGCCTCGTTATACACTGAAATACACTGGGGAGCCTCCAGGCTTTGCAGAGGAGCCAGGAGAGCTGTTTGCACAAGGTTAACCAAGTGCAAACGCACTGAGGACAGCGAGGGACCTGCCAGCCACAGGGATCCCAAAGTCCCATCAGGTGTCCCAGGCTCTGCTGCTGCTGTGATTTATGGCCTGCAGTTGCGATGCCGCAGCTCCCTGCTCCTTGCTGGACCTCGGGAGGGGACAGGGACATGGGAAGCTTCAGGATTCCCCTCCCTTCTCTTCCCCAGCGTGGCACTAAGGTAGCTCCGAAGGCTGCCAGGCGCTGGCTGCAGCATTCCAAGGAGGAGGAGGAAAAACCGGAGCGTTTCCTTGCTCAGAACCTTCGATTCATGTTTTCAAAGGCCCTTTGAACGCTTGGCTCCTCTGTGAAGCCTCCCTCCTCTCCTGAACAAACAGCAGGAGGGAACAGGTTCATTCCAGCCCATTGATGGGGAAAATCTCCCGTCATGTTTCCTACAAGCAGGGAGCCTCAGAGCCCTCTTGAAAGCATCAGGCACAAGGGCCCCATCTCTGCCTGTCCCCGGTTCCAGGTCGCCCCGGTCCAGCTCTGAATGCTCTGTGAGGTTGGTACCCAAACCTCTCTGCAAACAGGGCTGCAGATGCGCCCGGAGCCAAATATAACCCCATGTAGAGATTAATAAATCATAACCAGCAGTCTGAGCTGCGACAGGCAGCAAACAAGGACAGGTCCTGGTGCACAGGGTCCCAGCTACCCCATGGCATACCCAGCTCATCCCTGGTTCCCCCCAGCTCTGGGATGGCCATGGCACTGAGCTCCCTTCCCAAATGATGCTCGGGCTGTTTTTCTCTCTAAAGCATCTGAAATATGAAAAGAAGCAAAAAGCAAAGGGAAGCATCAGCTGCCTGGGAATGCCATCAGCATTCCTGCCTGCTCCTGCCACCTGGCTTCCTGCACTAGCAAACAAATCAACACATCCCAGTGTCCGGAGCCTCTGTGCATCACCCGGCGCAGCACTGAGCCCTGCCAGGGCCACACTGCAGCGAACCTGAGGCGCCAGGCTCCTTGCAAGCTGCAAACACTCCTCCAGATTAAAGGCAGGAACGGTTTTCCTTGTTTTTAAAGGAAGAAAAAAGGCTTTGGAGATAAACAGGAGCAAGAAGCCGGGTGTGGGCGTTCAGCTGAATCGAGTTGTTTGCAGAGAACTTGGGGTCTTGGCAGCACTTCCCTGATGTATGGCAACGAAAAGAGCACCCAGAAGGAGGACGTCCCCTGGGGCCTGGGGTGGTGATGTCCCCACTGGGCTCTGGAATTCCTTGTGCCCCATTCTCCTGTCCCCGTCCTGGAGGGTGGGTGCTGGCTGCGGGGATCCAGCGGCGCTGGGGGTGGGCTGGGTGCTGCAGAGCTCACGCGGGTGCTGTCAGCCCGGCAGCAATAATTAGCGATGATCAAAGCGGCTCCTTCCCGACAGCCCCGAACGCGGATGCTTGGAAATAGGAGGAGGAAAACAACGCCCGCGGCTGTGTGCAGGCACGAGCCTTGTGTGGGGAGAGGGCGCTGAGCTGCTCCTGCCCCTCCAGCATCGGTGGGGTGGGTTTGGGGGGGCTCGGGGTCAGGGGATGGGGATGCGGTGTCCAGGTCCCCATCACTGCATCTCTGTGAGTCAGGGGACAGAGAATCAACCAGGTTGGAAAAGACCTTTAAGATGATGTAGTCCAACCATTGCTCAGCACTGCCAAGGCCACCACTAACCCATGGCACTGAGGGCCCCGTCTCCACTGTGTGTGAATGCTTGCAGGGATAGTGACTCCAGCACTGCCCTGCTTGGGGCACCTTTTAGGGCAGGAATTGTTCCTCATGTCCATCTAAAGCTCCCCTGGTGCAGCTTGAGGCCGCTTCCTCTTGTCCTGTCCCTTGGGAGAACAGACCAACCGAGGGAGTTAAGGCAAGGAAGAAGTGCGATGGTGCGGCTGCTGAGCCACCACATCCTGCCATCAGCCTCTCCTGCCCCAAGCTGGGGCCATCCCCATCACCCACCTGGGTTACCCCAGTGGAGCGTGGCACTGCCTGGTGCTGGCACCCACCCCTGCACCCCAATCAGAGGTGAGCAGAGCCCTGCTCCCGCTCCCTGCCTGCCTCTCCCTGCTCCTCCTGGGGCTGGTTTGAGGAATCCCTGCTTTGTTTTCACGCCGTTTCCTCCGTCCCTCTCCCAGGACAATGTGTGGGGGCTGCCTGGAGCAGGGATGCTGCCAGCGGCCTCCACTCCACCGTTTCCAGCAGAGACACCCCTGGCTTCTCCTCCTGCCCTCGGGGTGCCCTGGGCGAAGCCGTTTACAGGACCCAGCTCCTCTTCCCCGCTGCTGCTGGGTGTGTGAGATGCTCCCACACTCTGCTCCATAGAAACAATCAGGAATCCACAGCAAACCCCTGCCCGGCGCTCCTGGCCTGCTCCCCAGTGCATGGAGGCGTCTGGAAAAGCCCCTTTCTCCCCAAAACTGGTACCAGCCATTTCCCCATTCACTCCTGAGCCATTCCAGGGCTGCATCCCCCTTCATGGACCCCGGAGCCCCCATCCTTATGTTCTTCATCCTTGTGTTCCCTGTGAGGAGCAGGAAACAAGGGGCATCTGCACCTCAGGAATGGGAGGGAAAGGCCATGGGTCCAGTTTTGGGGGTGCTCTCTGCGCTCTCACCACATGCTCCCTTTGCTGTTTGGAGGCAATGGTGCTCTCACCCATCACAGGCAAGTGTGCTGTGCGAGCATCACACCCTGTTTGGGCCACAGAGCATTCCAGGGGTGTGAAAATACTGGGCATGGTCTGTAATTCCTGGGAAGAGCTGGGCTGGTTTGTGGCTCAGCCCCAAGTGCAGCATCTTTTGCCCACCTCAAGGGAGTAAATGAGGTGCCCAACGCATGGCTGAGATAAATACTGTGCTGAGAGTCCCTAAGAGTAACCTCAGGGCACACAGCTCCTGCTGTATGGATTTCCTTCCTTTGTTCCTTTTAGGACATTGCTCCAGCTCCTGCTCTCTTTGCCCACAGCCAGCTCCCTCCCTCGAGCGAGGGCTTGGCTGCCTGCATCTTGCTCCCTTTCCCCTGCAAGGCTGGGATGCTGATGTGTAAGCTCCGATGTGTAAGCTCCGATGTGTAAGCTCCGATGTGTAAGCTCCGGGTCTCTTTGGCTCCCCAGGTCCTCCAAGGCTGCAGCAGCGGCTGCGAGGAGCAGGCAGCCAGGAAGCCGCCCCTATAGACGCTGCGATATTCCTCCAGGATCCATCCCGCCTGTGCTTGGAGTGGGAACGTGCGCTTCAGAAGCAGCGTGGGGATTAACGGGCTGTACGGAACAGGGCAGCCTCCCTGTGTGTCCAAGCCCCGCTCCAGCGGCTCCTCCGGAGCATCCCGGCTCAAAGCTGCACTTCCAGGGAATCTGACCTTTCATTAATAACCCAGCTGTGTTAGTGGAGGGATGAATAATACATGAGCAGAGCCAGCCCTGCGCTAAACTGTGTGTGGAACTTAATGAATCCTCAAACGTCAGGCCCCGAGGGCGGGTGAGGAAGCGCTTCGCACAGCTCCTCCGGGTATCCCGGCCCCAGCAGCCACATCCCTGTCACCCCGGGGTGGGGAGGGGGGGTTCCCTTCAGCAATTCCTTTCTGGAGCTTCATTCGCTGCGTGTTTTAAAGGGGAAGATTCCCCTTTGCTGTGGAGCTGCTGGAGGAAACCCCGGCAGCATCCTCCCGGTGAGCGTTTCCTGTGGGAAATAACATTGGCTTTTTCTTTCCCCGACCTTTTCCAGCTGTGGCTGTTAATAATGTGAAATCCTAAGTAAATGTCTCCATTCAGGTGTGTTTAACAGGAAACCGTGAGCAAACACTATCACCACTGCTGCAATCTCCAGGAGACCCCCAGGTATTTAAGTGGGAATCAGCTCCCAAGATGGCCTTGAATCCAATGATGGCCTGGGAGGGCTGGGAAGAGGTTTGCTTTGATGCTTTGATGGTGCAGGGACAGGGTTAGTTTGAGTCCAGGGATCCTGCTCTTTGCTCCCTGGCTTGGGCCTTGCAAGTGATGGGGATGCTGCTGTACGTGGGTGCTGTGTGGGGTCAGGGCTGGAAACCGGCTCTCCCTTTAGCACACAGAGCCTGGGGGGACCCCGCTTGTTTCCCTGTTCCTGGTGATGCTCCATGGGCTTTTGGCACTAGGGATGCTCCCAGCATCCCTGCTCCCGGCTGATGTTGGTGCAGCAGTGAAAGGATGAAGAGTGTCACACGCTGGGAGCAGGGATGTGGGATGAGGATGGGATCACGGGGTGGATTTCAGAGCTAGCACCTGTCCCATTGACATGGGAAAGCTCTTCCTGGTCCCACCAGCAGAACCAGCTCCTGGAGCTGCCTCTCCCCACCCCAGCATGCAGCATTTGGGCCAATGTGCTGGCAAATGAACACGTTTCCATCCATCCCCATGCACAGACATTGCCCTTGGCTGCACGCAAGGGGCAGCTGCCCCCAACTGAAGGGGCTTTTGTTGGGGAAATGCCTGCAAGAAGCATTTGAAAGCTCCTTCCATGTTTCTCTTCCTGCCTCCTTCTCCCAGTCTCCGAGCCCAAGCCCCTGCGCTTCCAGCTCCTTCCCAGCCTTTCATGCACCCAAACCTCCTCCTCTCTCCCTCCCATCCCTCCCAATTACACGTTTCCGAGGGAGGTTGCCTTGAAGTGGCTGCAGCTTCAGCAATCCCTGCAGGTTGCCTCTGAGGAGCGGTTTCAAAGGCTTTAACTGCTCTCTGGTAGCAGCACCGTGCTGCTGCCAGGAGCTGCTGCAGCTCTGGGATGATGGGGTCTGGGCATGGGGATGGATGTGGGGACCGGCATGGGGATCTCATGGCCCAAAGCACCGTTTTCCATGTCAGGGTCACCAAACCTCGCAGCCCTTGGTGCCCCTGGTGCAGCCCTGCAGACACCAGGTATGGAAACACCTCGTTTGCATCCATAGCTATGGCTGTTTCCTTCCATAGCCAACAGCTCCATAAGGAGCAGTGTGATTTCATACATCAGGATGCTGTCTAATGGAAAGAAGCCGGGTGTGGAAGCGGCACTGGAGCAATGGGGAAGGCTCAGCCTTGAATCGGGGAGCTCTGACGTGGTGTGAGAGGCTCAGGATGGCCCCTCCTGGGCTCTGGGGATGTTTTCCAGCCACTGGGCAGAGGATGGTGCCAGTTTGGCACATGGTCCAAGGAGCCACTGTGATGGGACAGCTCTGGTGCAGGGTCCGAGGGACGTGGAGCAGCCCGATGCCGTCGGGAGGAGGCCCCGAGGCCCCACACAGATGTTCCAGATGTGCATTTCATTCTGATTTAATCAGCTCTTTCCTGTGTGTCCACAAAGCCGTGACCTTCCTTCAGACACATTTCCAGGGCTATTCCCCAGCCTCTCCCCCTGCACTGCCACCATCTTCCACCACCAAACCCCTCACTTGCTGTTTAATCCATGCAGATGAGTTATGAGCCATGAATGGTCTCTGGTCCTGGTACGAATCCCTCTAAACCATGCATTTGGCTGGTTTTCCATGCGTGTTTGTTGGAGCACATACTGTACATGGGGGAGTGGTGCCCTGTGGACAGGGCATTGGGCAGATGGCAGGCAGAGCACCATCAGCTAGGAAACCATCAGGGCTTTTGGTGCTGTACGTGTATATGTGTACTGCCTCTGTCCTGACCTGTATCAATATTAATCCCCAGTCCTGAACACTGAGTGCTGGTGGCTCTGGGGACCCTCTGGGGAGTTGAGTGATTCCTGGTTGTGAAACATCAATGTTTTCCTTGGAGGTTGGCAGCTGGATCTATTGATCCATCCATCCATCCATCCATCCACCCATCATCCATCCACCCATCCATCCATACATCCATTCATCCATCCATCCATCCATCCATCCATCCATCCATCCATCCATCCATCATCCATCCATCCATCCATCCATCCATCCATCCATCCATCCATCCATCCAACCATCCATCCATCCATCATCCATCCATCCATCCATCCATCATCCATCCATCCATCCATCATCCATCCATCATCCACCCATCCATCCATGCATCCATCCATCCATCCATCCATTATCCATCCATCCATCCATCCATCCATCCATCCATCCATCCATCCATCCACCCATCATCCATCCACATGTACATGCATCCATCCATCCATCCATCCATCCATCCATCCACCCATCATCCATCCACATGTACATGCATCCATCCATCCATCCATCCATCCATCCATCCATCCACCCACCCACCCACCCATCATCTACCCGTCATCCACTCACCATCCATCCATCATCCACCCCTCATCCACCCCTCCATCCCTCCCTCCCTCCCTTATCCACCCATCCACCCATCCACCCCCAAACAGCCCGTGCCACCCCAGGTGTGCAAAACCAGGACACAGGGGCAGGAGCAGGAGCAGAATCCACACGGATACGATGGGGACCATGGGATGTGCTGTGGGGCTGGGGGACGAGCTCCTTGCTCTGTACACCCCAGTGCAGGCTCTGGAGCTGCTGGCAAGGGCCGTGCTGCTGGCGAGACGCTGCTGGATGGCTCCAGGTTTTTCCAGGCCCGTGTCTCAGTTTCTCTTGACTTTATGTGTTTTTATTTCCTATTAAAAGCCGCTGTCTCATTTCCTCCATGAAAAACAAGGCTCTTTCAGCAAGATGAATTCCTCCAGCTCCAGCAAAGCCCCTGTCTGCACTCAGAAACAAACAGGCTGTGTGGGACCTGTCACCTTCTCCCCTCTTCTTGCCCCACATCACCCGCTGGGCTTGGAGCAGGGCAGAGATGGTGAATCCCATCCCCTGGGAGCGCATGGATGGTGCCTGCTGCACGGATCCATCGGGCTGGTGCCATTTGCTGCCCTGCTCTTCCCCTTCCCTCCTGGGAGCCTTCTGTGCGTTGGGCAGGGTTTGCTGGTGGCTAAAGGAGGAGAAACCAGCGGCACTTCTCCAGGCTGCTGCATCCCGTTGCCATGCTGGGAACAGCAGGAAAGAGCCCTGGCATCTGCAACCCTCCGTCCGCAAGGGAGACAGATCCTGGGAGGCCCCAGGAGCAGCTCCCAGAGCATCTGCCTCAGCTGGAAGCACAGCGCAGATGCCTTTGGGATGAAAACACTTCCTCCACCCTCCACCTCCACCTGACATTTGGGAATGTGGAGCCGCAGCTCCCTGGAGCTTTTCCCGTCTCTCCTATTGGAGCCGTTACACATGGCTCTGGAGGGAGCCAGGAGGGAGAGGATCCTCCCTGGATTGTGGTCCGGGTGTTCATCCTGGCCGGCAGCACTGCACCAGGCCTGGGTGGGTCGCCTGCATCCCGGGATGTGGCTGGACACGGGGTGCACTGAATTGGTGGGTCCTCAGCATCCCTTTCTGATGGCTCCGATGGGTACCACGGACGTGGATCATAGAATCATGGAGTGGTTTGGGTTGGAAAGGACCTTAAGATCATCCAGTTCTAACCCCCTGCTATGGGCAGGGACACCTCACACTAAACCATATCCCCCAAGACCCCGTCCAACCTGGCCTTGAGCACTGGTCCTTGCAGGGCAGAGCCAAGCTGCACGGTGCCAGCATCCCAGCATCCTTTCTGGAGCCCAAGCCCCCGGAGGGGTGCCTCCATGGGGCAGCCCTGCCCCTCACACTGGCTCTGGCTCAGCTCCAGCCTGTCCCTCCATGGCAAACACAGTGATGGACACGGCCGGGGGACAGCAGCTCCTGGGATGCTCCTGAGAGCTGATTCTGCAGGGCTGGCAGCTCAGCTCTGCCTCCCGTCCCTCCTGCTTCCCTCAAAATGAATGTGCAATATTAAAGGATCAGAGCTGAGCTCCCCGGGTACAGAGAAACAACAAAACCCTCTTTATTTCCCAGCCCCCAGCTATGGATTTGGGATGAAATGTTGGTGCTGGTAGGCGTGGAAGGGCACTGCAGCCACAGCTTAACAGCCACGGTGCACATCAGGACAGGGCCACATCCTGCCCCTGTGCAGCTCCTTGGGAGAAGCCGGGGCTGTCCCTTAGGAAGGACTAAAGGAGAAATGAGATGAGGAGCGTTGCTTTGACAGCTTCTCAAGGTTTCCTTTGGGGAATGAGGGGAACAAGCTCGCCTGGAGGATGGGATTTTCCAGATGCTGGGAGAGGGGAAGGGAAGCAGGGGGTGGGATACATCAAAGGAAAGGCACAGCGCTTCCCAGAGCGGGTATTCCCTGCATGCCTCCGGTCTTGCCAGGTGTGGGGTGGGAAGCAGCTGTGATTACTGAGTGCAGGAGATTGCATTAGGCAGGGAGTTATCAAATACCCTGAGCTGGATGGGGGCAAGGGAGGTTTGCACCTTCAGTGAGTAATTCCAGCCCGGAGGAGCTGCAGAGGCACTGGGGGCAAACCAGTGAAGGCCCCACTTCCCACGCTGTGAAGGTGCTGTGCTGGGAGCTGAGGATGCTCTGGCCCATGGTGAGCAGCATCAGGTGAGGCTCCATGTCTTGCCCTGAGGTTTTTGGCTGGGTCCAGCAGATGTTTGGGGTTCGTGGGCTTGACTCTGCTGTGGAGACGTTTGTGTCCTCTCTGAGGGCTCTGCAATCTGGAGCAGATTGAGAGTGTGGGTCTGGTGGTGGTCTGCGGGGACCGGCTGTGTTTACCAGGCTTTGGGAGCACTTGGGATGAGGGAGGAAATAACACATGCACAAAATCCTCTGAGGAGGGAGAACTGGGAGGGTTTGCAAATACCAGAGAGGACAAGAGAGGTTAGAAAAATCTGCAGGAAACACAAAGGCCCAAGTCGGAAAAAGCAAAGCAAACCCATCTGGAGGGGACCAGGGAACAGAGCATCACGGATGCTGGGAGCCCTTTGGGGCAGCAGGCCTGGGAAAGGCATTCTGGAGGTGCCTGCTCAAGTGTCCCCCCCTTAGGAAGGGGCTCAGAGGGGCTCTGTCAGCTCTAATCCCTGCTCGCTGAGGCAGCAGCCAGCTTCTGGCAATGTCTGTGGGTCTGAGCTCCCCGTGACACCGGTGATCGGGGCTGGCAGGAGCCCATGGAGCTGACCCGGGGCTCTGGCTGCAGCCTCGGGCTCTTGTAGCTGCTTTATCCCATGGGCGCCAGCTGGGATTGCGATCCCAGGCTGTGGTGTGCCATCCCTGGGCTCCCGTCCCAGCCACCTCATTCATGCCTCAGGGGTCACTGTCCCTCGGCTCTAACTGTCCTGAAGTGCAAAGGCAATGGGAAGGGAAGGGAGTTTGAGCACTGGTATCATAGATCACAAACTGGTTTGGGATGGAAGGGACCTTAAAGCTCCTCCAGCTCCAACCCCTGCCATGGGCAGGGACACCTTCCACTGGAGCAGCTTGCTCCAAGCCCTTTTGTCCAACCTGGCCTTGAACACTGCCAGGGATGGGGCAGCCCAATTTAGTCAATGTTCCCCTTTCCACCACCCTCCTCCTCCCTGTGTGCTGCAGAGTGCCCGGTTCCTGCACAGGAATCCCTGAGCTGCTGCTGGTCTGTGGGAGCCGGGATGCTGCCCTGGATCATCTCCATCCCTTGAGGCAGCTCCCAGGGAAGCATCCTGAAGGTCACCCAGGGCAGTGGGAGCAGGGATGGTTTATGTGGTGTAGAGGCTGCGGGAGGATTAAAGGTGGATTGATTGGCCCTTAATAGCTCTGCCATAAATTCCTTTTCCAAACTGCTGTTTGAGAGCAGTGAAACCCCGGTGTTCCCAGAGCTCCCTTGCTTATTAAACAACTAATGAAGTGATTTGATTAAGCGCAGGGAAGTCTTTCTGGCTGCCCTTGTGCTTTGGAGCAACCTGGGATTATTAAAGCTGTTCCTTGGGAGATGCTGTGCTTTAAGACGTGCCTTGTTCACCGTAGCTGGGTTGATGTTGCAGTGAATTGCTGTGATTTCTGGTTGTCACTTGGTGTGTGGGAGCGCAGGAGATGCCCAGCCAAGCTAATGGGCTCAAAACTAGAGACGTTTAAAGCTGTGCTGCTCTGCCTTGTGTTGCCTCAGTAGCTCAGGGGTTAAGTGACTTTGTGGGCAATAAGATCCAGAGCTGGTGGGTTTCTCCTGTAGAGATGATGCTGCTGGGGCCTGAGCTGCAACTGCAGAGCAGGGAGCGATGGATACCCTGGGAGGAGAAGGGAGAGGGCTCTGGCATCCACCCTGCCTGCAGTGGGAACCAGCATTATGATGGGCAGCTACTGCCAGGGGCTCCTCTAATACCAATAATGAATAGCAACAGTAGTAAAAGGAGTTGGTGAGCTTGAAAGCAGAGTCCAGGCTGCGGAGGGAGAGTGGGCAGGAGCAGCATGAGTAACAGACATGAGAAGAGAGGAGGCAATGTGACCTCTGCAGATACACAAATTACTCAGCTCCTTCTGGCTGCATCAAAGATTTTCTGACTCACCAGCCTGGGGATTTAACCCCTGGATCCCGGGATGCAGGGAAACGGCTGCTCCAGCTCCTCGCCACTCTGCGAGCGTGGCTGGGGGCTGCCAAGCATCCCCCATCCTCTTCGAGGTGAGGAAGGCTCCAGGTGCCCCCTCTCCCTAGGTTTTGGGGGCACAGTGGGCTTGCATGGGGACCCCAGGACTAAAGAGGTGGAGGGATGAGGATGGAGGTGCAGGGATGAGCTCCATCCCTTCCAGCCATGTGCAGTGCCAGCTCCAGAATCCTGCACATGGTGCCTTATTTGCCCCTTTCCCCCCACTTCCCAGAGCCTTGGGAGCTGGGTCCAGGGGTGACCAACGGGGGGGGATCTGCCTTCCCAGATTCCAGTATAAAGCTCCAGAACCCCCCCTGGTTTAGCTTCACTTTCCACATCCCCATCCCTGCTGGGGATGGAGGACTCAGATGCAGCCTTCAAACAGCCCCATCTTCTCTTGCTCTCCCTCCTCGAAGGGGTTAAACCCCTCCCAGGCTCGAGGCTGTTCTCTTGTCTGAGGGATTAATTGGAACCAGGTTGCTGCTGAACAGAGCTACTTGGTTGGAGAGTGTCTGAAGGGCTTCACCCCTCCTTGAACCTGGCAAGAGGAGATGGGGCAGAGCCTCAGATGCTGATGGGCATCCGCATCCTATTCCGAGAGCAGGAGGGGCAGGTCTGGAGGGATGCAGGAAGCTTCTGCTCCCTCTCACCCCAAATCACCTGGAAAAACAGGAAAGGAGAGAGGGGAGACAGATTCCAGCACAGTTGCAGGAGGCAACTGTAAAGGCTGGACCCATGGAGCTGTGCCAGGGAATGGCTGGAAAGAGCTGGGAGCAAGTGGGGAGAGATGGAGTGATAAGGAATGGAGCTCAGCTAGGTGGAAAATACAGGAGGAGCTTGATTTATTTGCTGTTTCCCTTCATCTCCTTCGTTTCCAACTCTTATCGTGGCTTGGGAAGAGTTCATCTTGAGCCTTGTGCAACGATGGGACCGGCTCCATGGGGCAGGAAGAGGGCAAAACCATCCCCAGCGAAACAAGTGCGGAGCTGTGATGGAGAATCCTGGCTATTGGGCTTCTGGACTTGGTTTAAACCAAGCTGGGATTTGCAGCAGGACAGCTTCCATTGTGAGATCTCCTGTTGTTCCAGGGGAGGCAGGGACCCCATCCGCAGGAGCCGCTCCTCCTGTGGTGCCTTTTCCATTTCTGGGCCTGGGTTGAGCTCTGTTGAAAAGCAGGGAGTGAGTGAGAGCAGCGCCTGGAGCTGGATGGGAGCAGGGGTTTCAGTTTCATTGGAAGGGCCCCATATTCGGCCTTTTTTTTCCACTCCAAAATAATGCAAAAACACAAATAAGCCATTTCCCGTAAAGCAGCACTGTTGGAAAAATCTCCCTTGGAGCTGAAGGAAACATTTTTATTCCATACAATCAAAATATTTCACTCCTATTTTTACCTTCGCTCAAGTCCTTGATGGGAAACGGAGACTGTTTTTAGGGATGCGATTTCACCTGCGCTTGGGGGAATGTTCTGGGGTCTCTGTCCCTTCCCAAAGCTGCTGCCATGTTCCAAGGCAAAGGCTGGGGCTGAAGGAAGGGAACTGAGGGATGTTTCCCAGGGTCTATTCCCACTTTCCCAGCTCGTGCCCCTGGAATGGAAGCAGTGAGCCCCAGCATCGCAGACCTGAAGGAAGCACTCCTAGTGCTGCTCCATGGGAGATGCTGAACCCCGTAAGGGGAAATGAGGCACCCACCTCCCCTTGTGAATGGCTGAAGAGGTTTCTGCTCCATCTCCTTGCACAGCAGAGCCTCAAGCATTTGGGTGATGAGTGGCCCCATGAAGCCAGGGAAGGGCTGGGGGATGAGGCTGCTCTGGATGATTCCGGATGAGCCCGGGTTAATCACAGCCCTGCTCTTCCCCAGCAAGGAAGGGAAGTGTTTATAGGGAGAGGGGTGTGAGGATACAGCCCTTGGAGGGCCGCTTCTGGAATGGTCTTGGAAATCTGATGCTTCCTCTGATGTTTCCCTGCTCTCAGCATCTGCCCCATGGGTAGGACCTGTGAGGAAGAGTTAACTCTTCCCTGCAAGCACTGTGCATCCTGCTGCAGGGAAAGGGATGGGGCTGCAGGCCTGGGCATGGCCAAGTGTGAAAATGAAATAACCCAGCTCAGGAAAGGGGGAAGAACCCACTGGGCTTCTCTTAGGGAGGGAAAAGGCCCACGTTCCATAGGATCTTTATTCCTTGAAAGAGGCTGAGACAAGAAAACAGAGCATTTGCTTTCAGAGGAGGAAGGATGCTGGGCAAAGCAGACGGGGTTTTGCTCTCATGGTGAGAGCAAGGGAGGCAAGCAGGGGTTAGGGACCAGCCTCTGAGCGTGTCCTCAACACACCACAAAGGGCCATGGGGATGAAGATGTCCGGGTGTGGGGAAGCAGGGATGGAGGAACGGTGCCTGGGGCAGGCAGGGTCCTTGAATAAGGAGCTGCAGAGGGACAGGAGCCTGCAGGGCTCTGGCCCAGAGGCTGGGGAGAGATGGATGAAGCCAAAGCCCTTGGCAGCTCTTAGCAGTTAGAAATGAGCTGAATTTATGGCTGTAGTATTTGGAGCAGTTTCTGAGCACCTCTGGGGCTCTGACAGCCCTGTTTGCTGCGCCAAGCAACACAGGCAGATCTGCTTCGTGTGTAACGTAACGGGGCCGCAGAGATCCCTCCCCACACCAGGCCTGTGCATCCGTCATCCCCTGGCCTTCCAGCTCTCGGTGCTCTCTGGTTTCCCCTCGCCATCACACATGGAGGAGGATGCTGGTGTGGGGCAGCTCAGTGCACTCAATGCAGATCTCCCCACACCAAGGCACGGGGCTCTCTCTTCAGCCTGGGACATCTCCAGTGCTTTTGGTGCCTGTGGCTGAATGGTTTTGGAGGTGGCTGTCCTCAGGCTGGGCTTTTCCTGGCGACAGGAAGCTCATGGTGGTATCCCCCGTGGCTGAAGGGCCAGCGTTGTGTTCCCAATGGGATAATGCACTGTTGGTATCACCTCGCTGTAGGAGCACAGAAGGAGAATATTAACAGGAAAGAGCAATAACCAGGGTGTCCCCAGCCATGCCTTGCCCAGGGTGGACCTGCTTTACCCTAAATAGGAGCACTTCTCCAAGGGGCAGCAGCTCCTGAGGGATGGGGCTGTGCCTTCACCCCACTGGGGACCGTGGTGGTGGCACAGGGAGCACAGGGTTGGATGCCTGAGGCAGCCCATGTCATGCGAGGAAAGGATCGGGCTGGCGCCTGCCTTCGGAGAGGAAAAGTACTGGATTGGAAGGAGGAGGAGGCAAGGATGAAGGCCAAACCCAAGGGAGGACGAGACACGACTCAGGTGTTTCCATTGCAGCTTGCCCAGACAGTGCAGAGGAGGTGATGGAGGCCATGGGCGCAGGGTGCTGCTGCAATGGCACCAGCCATATCCACCCTCTGCTTTCCCCCCCAAGGGGCACAGGGAGCCCTGGGCAGCAGTGACAGAGCCGTGTCACCCAGGATGGCAATGGGGTGCCCATGGCAGCTCAATGACTCCTTTCCTTCTGCCTTTCCTATTGCCCAAGGCTTTGTCCTTGTCGACTCTCTCACCCCAATGTCCCCGTTCCCCTTATGTGTGGGCAGCCCTTCATGCATTTGATGATGTATTTATATAACCCCCTACTAAAGCCTTGGCCTGAGCAGCATCTTGTGGTGCTGGGACCCACTGGCTAATTGGGGGGTTGGCTCCAAAGCCTTGCTTTCGTGGTTTCCATTGCACTCTGTTGGAGTCGCATTGAATCACCCCCTTGTTCTTGTGTTAACCAACACTGGCAGCTCTTCCCGCTGCGGAGCTGACACCAGGAGCCCTTCCACCCTCTGAAGTGCTGTTGTGGCTGCAGGAAGCCTTCCCAGCGTGGTCCTACCCCATCCCTGGTGCCAGCGTGGTCTGAAGGGGGTTGCAGTCCCCCCTTGTGCTGTGTGGATAAGGAGGAGGAGAGGGGAAAGCTGTCCTCTCTTTAGCTAAAAGCTAAAGGAAGCGCGGCTCCTGAGCTGCAGAGCTCGGGGTGCCAGCACAGGGACCCTGCAGGGTGCTGCAAGAGAGCAAGAAGCAAGCAAAGCATCACTGAGAGCACGTATGGGGTGCGCTGCTCCCATTCCATCAGCTCTATGGAACACGAGGTCTCTTCCCCATGTGAACTGCTGGCTGGAGGACATTGTCAGCCCCATCCCTGTGTGGGGCAGGATGGAGGGGGGGTCACCCTTGGTGTCCTTGTGCCATGGGAAGGGTAGAGTTGGGTGAAAAGCGAGTCCCCAGATTGACACCATTTAGCCCCAGGGGTAAACTGCTCCCCTGGGCTGGGGTGGCAAAGGCAATCCCAGTCCCGCATCCCATGGCTGGGAGGTGATGGAGGTGCTGGCCCATGCTGGGCATGGGGCAATGGTGCTGCTGCTGCTTTGTGCTGGGGAGAGGGGGAAACCAGCCAGGAAAACTCCTTCCCTCTGCTCTGGAGTGCTTCATTCCCAATGTGATGTTCTGCTAAACCCGGCTCCGATAGGAACTGGTTCGGTCACAGGTCAGACTGCTGGAGCCAACACGGAGCAGGGAAAGGGCATCCTTGCATTCCAAGCTGGAGCAATGTGGCTGGGGCAGTCCCTGGGTCCTGATTCTGGCCCCTAAATCCGCTCCCTAAACGCGTGCCTCAGTTTCCCCTCCTGCAAAGGAGGCAGCGGGATGCGGAGGCAGCTTTGGCTCGGCCGATGGGATGTGACCTCCGCTGGGCAGCAGCATTCCTGCGGGAGGGAATCGCTTCCTAGGGAGCAGCCCCACGGTGCAACACAAGGCTGGGGAGCCCAGGGGACGGAGGGGCCCCTGGTTCCTGCAGCACCGCATGGTTCATGCGGCCATGAGCTGATGGGCTCAGCAGCCTCGGCCCTGCTGCCAAGAGCTAATAAGCGGCTGCTTTGCAAGGGGAAAAAAAAAGAAAGAGGGGGTTTGGACTTCTGTGCCTCGGAGAAATGAGCCGGATGATTTCATCCCTGAGAAATGCGAGCTTTGGTGCACGCTGCATCCCCTCCCTGCGCTTAAAGCAGCCACAAGCCCAGCACAGGGGGTGGGAAGAGGGGTAGGAAGGGGCTGAGGGATGCAGGGAGGCTTGGGGGGCTTGGTGGTTGTGGAGTGGTGGCCACCGCTGGGGACAAGGGCCTGTCCTGCTGTCACCCCATGTGGGATGTGGGGTCCTTGTGTGCCACGATCCCACCTTTGGGCTGGTCCCTGTTGCGGAGCTTCAACCCCTTCCTTCACTTTGCTTTTCACTCAGCAGGGACCAAGGCTCCTCTCGCCCACCCCTGTGATGAGGTCTGTCCAGTCTCAGCCTGCCTTGAACAGACTCTTTCCCTAGGGGGAGAGCATTGCTTCCAGTGTGGCTTCTTTCCTGGGGTGATGGAGCGGGTCCCATCAGGGTGGGCAGGGCTGCAGACTGCTCTGTGTGTGTGTGTGCGAGCCCCACTGTGCCATGGCTCTGGAAGCACTGTGGGTTGTCTGAACAGAAGAGGCAGCTGGGTCACAGCCCTGCAAGCACAGAGCTCCCTTCTGCCTGGGGTGATGTGGGATGCGGATCCTGCTTCCCCCCCCTCCTTGTATCCTCAGGTCAGACTGGCTCTGGGACACGTTGGGATGCAGGCTCATGGCACTGCTTGGCTCTTCATGCATTGAGCAGCAAGGGGCTGATGCCTGGGGGGGGGGCTGAGGTGCATGGGGTTTGTGCCTGCACCAGGAGCCAGCGAGGGTGAGGAGCTCCCAACCTTTTCCATTCCCTAACCCTGCCCTGGCTGCTGTGATGCTCGGGCACCCGCTGCACGAGGCTCTTCTCCAGGGGACGTTTGCCCATAGGTTTAATGACCAGAGCAGCGGCTCTGCTCTGAACAGGCTCCACTTGTTGTTGTTTTCCCTCTGGGGCAGGGGTCAGCTGCCTTTTTGTCTGCTTTTCCTGCTCGGGATTGAGTGCAGCTTGTTCCTTCCAGCCTGGCTCTGCCTCTGTCCATCTGTGCTGGGGAAGCCGCATGTCCTGGTCCCCGGTTCAAGCAGTGCGAGATGCTCAGGGATGGATGGAGAGGCCGTGTGATGCCTGGGGAGAAGGGAAGAACATGGAAGGGATGCAGGCCACAACCTCCTCTTGCATCCCTCCCCTTGCTGTGTGCTGGGGTGCCAGCAGTGACACAAATGCCCTCCCCAGCCAACCACGGAGCTTGAACCTGCTCACCTTCATCCCTCTGGAGTGCTTTGGTTTAGGGTTGCTTTATTCAAGCACCTTCCCCGTGTCCCCTCATCAGCCATGCTCATGCAGCATCTTCCCAAGGTGTTTCCAGATGTTTGCTGGCGATGGAAACAAAGGCCTGGAGCATGTCCTGCCCTTGCCCCATGTGCAGCTGGAGGGGGGGATAAAGCACATCGTGCAGCATCCCAGCAACAGGAGAGCAGGATCCATGCATTACAAAGCAACATACTTTTCCCCTTCGCTCACTTCCCACTCCAGAGCTTTACTTGGAGCCAAGTGTTTCTCCCAGGCTCCTGGTGACGTGCTCCCAGAGAGCTTTGGGATAAGCTGAGTTTAACTTTCCAGGTCGGTGGTCACCCAACCCCAAATAACAACAGGAGAAGGCACGCGGCATCATCCCACTGGGAATGGGGCCATCCCAAACCACCGGTTTTGGGGGGGACCCATGGACTCCCCTCATCCCCTTCCCATGGCAGCGGTGGTTGCTGATGGAGAGCACGGCCGGCTCGTGAGGCTTTGCTGCCTGGGGTTTGACATTATACCCGCTCAGACCGAGCGGCCGCAGGGACATCTTGGGTTTCCTGTTGCTTTTTGCCCTCCCCTCCTTTCTGCAATGCAATTTTTTAGCTCTCCAAAGGGACTTTTAAGATCTGGCCCTTAGGAAATAGCAAAGCTGCTGTGCCATAAATCAAGTGTGTTTGGACAGCACTGAGCACAGCGGAGGCTCCGCTTGGGCCAGCGTGGCCGATGCTGGGATAACGTAAAGAGCAAGCATCTCCCTCTGGCCAAATAAACATGAAGCTGCTGTTGCTGTGGTGTGGGGAGCAGGCTGGTCTGAGCACAGCCCTTGCCTGTGTTTGAGGAGCCTCTGAGCTGCTTTGCTCTGTGGAACTCCTCTTTCTGAGCCCCCTGGGGCTGGGACCATGGGCTCTTGGTGTGTGCTGTGGTGTTGCCCCTGGCCAGGAGGGAATGGAGCTGCTACAGGAGCCTGAGGTGCTGGAAATGGATATGATGAGGTTCAGGATGGGACCTTCTGCCAGGGGAAGGGGCTGCTGGTTTAAGTGTGCCTGATGTGCCTGCGTGAGTGCTATGGAGTGGTGCATGAGGGGAATGGATAATGATGGATGAGGGTGCTCCCTGCATCTACCCTTTCCCAGCTGGACACAACAGAGGCACTGGTTATAATGGTTTTGGTTTTTTTTTGCTCACATCCTCCCTCTGTTGCCTCTTGTTTCCTCATCTGGGGTGTCTGCAATGCTGCTGTGGGCTCCCTGCAGGAGCCAATGGGGCACGGCTGGGTGCTGAACCCTCGCTGTGCCCCATGGGCTGGTGGGATGCAGCCTCTGGGCTCCTTGGGACAGCATTCCTCCCTGTTTACCCGCCTGATGCTGTCCCTTGTGTTGCCCTTGGTCGAGACGAGCTGTTCCTGCAGCCCTGGCTCCGTCTCCCGGTACTTCCATGCTCAAACATTTCCTCTCCTACCTCCGCCAGACCAAAGAGGTATTTCTGTTACAATCCTCTGCAGGACAAACAGGCCATGGCTGGGAAAGGGGATAAACCAAAGGGATAGGGCAACAGGGGGACCAGGGCTGAGTGGGATGCTGCAGGGGTACTGAGACTGGGATCTCTCTGTGCCAGCAACGCTGTGAGCACAGGTTTGCTCTGTGGCCACGCTCCATCACCCCCTTCTATACAAGAGCAGGGCCAGATTTGCTCCAGACACAGAATAAACCGCGCTCACTGTGCCCATTGCCACGTTTGAGGCTGCAGCCTGTTGTGTCTTCAGCATCTCAAAGGATGTCTTTGAAGGTGGATTCGCAACTTGGACGTGGAAAGAAATTCCTGCAGGAAGCAAATTCAACAAACCAAGTCCTTTGGCTGGGAGCAAACTGTGTAAGCACCAGGTTTGCTGATGGTTCTAGTGCTCCCCAGCCCCAGGAGCTGTGTTAGCAGCGTCTCAGGGTGGGTAGCACAGTGGATAAAGTCTAAGGAATGAAACCTTTCCATGCCTGGCATCACAGGGTGGCTTCTGTGCAAGCAATTGCCCCATTCAGTGCCTCAGTTTCCCCTCTGTCAATGCCCAAAGTGAGTGTCTGTTGGGTAGCAGGAAAGAAACCCCAAGCCATGAAGCATCCCCATGGATCTGGGGACTTCTGACGAGCTTTGAAAGCAGCTGGCATCAGTCTCCACCCAGCATATCCTTTCCCTATTGATTCTGATCCTTCTCCAGCTGGCAAACACATGTCTCCATCCCGACCCTTTGTTTAAACGATGTGAAATACCGATGTGGTTTCTCTGTTCCTTTTCCTGGCTTGCACTCAAGATACCTGCTGGGCTCTAGGCATCTCTGCAAGGTGAGGGCTCTGCCCTTGGACCAGCACTCAATACCCCAGTCTGGGGGTAAGAGGAATGGCACTGCTGCTAGGAACAGATATACTGATGGGCTGTGGGGAGCCCAGCAAGTGGGAGCTTTGGGAGAGGCTGATTTGGGCTCTTTGAACCCTGCTGCTCTCAGCCAAGTGTGGAAGTGCAGGATTGGACCCTCCTTGGGCAGGCTTTGGACTGGGCTTTCAATGAGCCAAAGCAGCTCAGGTTTGCTGGCCCTAATGCAGACCAGCTTGGCTGGATAAAGGATGGCTCCATAGGGAGGGAGATGAACCCCTGAATCCCGCATATAAGGATGCTGTGCCCCTGGGATGTGTCTGCATGCAGCAGGTCCCAGGCTGCCCCTGAGCTCCTCGGAGCTGAAACGTCCCCTTGAGCACCCACAGAGCAGACACCTGGGGTTCCCTCAGCTGCATCCTCTTGGTGCGAGGCAGGTTTCCAGCCCAGGACCTGCCTGAGGCTCCATGCAAAGCCCGTGGTCCAGCACCACCACCTCCCTGCTCCTTATGAAGCCCATTGGGATTTGCCTTAAATCTCATCCAGGCAGCAGGAGCAGAGACCCAGCATGGGGTGGGCTCCCTTCAGCAGGGGTTGGGAGGCAGCGGGATGTCCCTGTGGCAGCGGGGACCGGGCTGCTTGATCCCTGGGGACCACACAAGCAGCCCCCATCCCATCCCATCCCCGTTCCTCGCAAGCTCCCTCCCAAACCCCGCGCTCCTGGCAAACGGGGGCCGTGGGAAGGGGAAGGGCTCACTCATTACCCTCATTTAACCAGCGCTGTTTTGAAACACGGCCTGGAGCAGCCTCCGCAGCAGAAGGGGCTGTTGAGCCGCAGCCCGGCCGCGTGTGTGCGCGGCGCCCGGTGCCAGAGAAAGACGCGTTTGTTGTCGTCGGGCCCCGGCCCCGGCCCTCCTCCGGCTCCCGCCTCCCACCCACCCATCCCGGCAACAAAACCCGCGGCCGACCCGGGACCGCTCGTGGCGGAGCCGCGGAGGCGAGAGGAGGAGGGAGACGGCCAGAGAGGAACTTGTCTTGGGGATTAATAGGAGGCAGGAGGAGGGAGAGGTGCACACAGGTAAGCTGTGCGCAGGTGATCCCCCCCCCACCCCCGGCTCTTCTCATCTTGCCTGACCCTCCATCCCAGGGCACTGCACTGGTCCATGATGCTCCTGCCCCTCTCCAGCCTCCTTTACCTGGGAAGCAGCATCTGCTCCTTCCTCTTTCCCCCTCTCTTCTTTGTTGGAACGGGAGTCTTTGTTCCTTCTCTTTGCTCCTGTTGCAAGAGTTCCTCTCGGCATGGGGCAGGATGGGTGCTGGAGGGAGGAACTCGGGGATGCACAATGTCCTGGGTGAGAGAGCATTGGAACTACTGCCAGGGGCTTTCTGTGGGGGCAAGCGAGGACCCCCCAGTGTCCCCCACCCCACATTGACCTGGGCTCTCATGCTCACCACCCCACACTGCTCTGGGATGCAGAGCTGGGGACCTGGGAGCTGCAGAGCCCCAGCCATGCCCAGGACAGACCTGGGACCCAGGATATGGGCGGTGAGGCTGGGAGGGGAGCAGACACCTCCAGAGCAGGGAACCCCCAATGTGGGGTCACTGAGCTGAGCTTGGCATCCAACAGCCAAGCTGGGGGGGTATGGGGGTCCTGGTCCCAAGGGATGGGGGCTTCACGCAGCCCCTCTCTCCATGTGGGGAGCAGGGAGATTCCCTACCCTGCGGATGGGACCAGCATCACATTGCTTTGAGAGCAAGGTGGGGGAGAGCAGCCGAGCAGCACCTCCATGCTTCACTTCCCAAGGAGCTGGTGTTCTGCCCTACATGTAGGTGCTGAAGCCCTGCTCTCCTGCCCGGCAGGCAGAGCTGTGCCCGGATCCCATAGGGATGGGACACCACTTTTTCTGCCTCGGTCATAGAGATTGGAGCCAGCTCCTTCCCTCCATGAGGGTCTCCTTTTGGAGCTCTTTGTCTGTGCGCTGGTGCAGGCAGGAGCTGATGGGAGGAAGCACCAGGGCACTGATGTTGGCTGAAGTCGTGGGGAAAGCCTTTTGTTGCATGGAAAAGCCTCATCCCTGTTTGAGAGCTTTAAGGAAAAGCATCTCCAGGGCAGAAAGTGGAACTCCATCCATCCCCTTGGCAGCTGAAGGCAAAGCACGTCGCACATGAGGGCTTGGAAGCATTCCTGGGATCGCGGGCCCTGCCTTATGTGGTGTGCGGCTGGCGGCATCCCGCAAGCTGCTTCCTGGGATGCACCCGGAGCTGCCCTGGGGATGCAGGAGGGACGGGCTGGGTGCTTTCCCTTGGGAAGACTCCGTAGGAGGTTTCCTCTGCCCTAGGAAGAGGCTGGAGGGGAGGGATGAGGCAGCGGCAGCTGCTGATAAGGCATCAGAGCAGTTTCCCACCCTCGGAGGAAGCGATGCCTGGGGGGACCAAGGCGAGGAATCCGCCGTGGGATGTGTGTGGGGCCGGGTTGTGATCACTTCAACGTCTTCTGCCATGGTTTCCTCCTGCGTGTGTCCATCCAGCTCCAATGCGTGTGGCAGAGAGCTCTGTGGGCAGGCTGAGCCGGGAGCAGCCCTGGGAAGTGTTGGGACATGCAGCAAAGGAGGAGGAGGGAGGAATTGCTGACACGGAGAAGGCAGCAGGAAGGTGCTCTCTGCCAGGGCTGCCTTCCCACGGACCCTGTTGCGGGAGGAGGGTGCTGGAGGGAGCAGTGGATGCAATGAGCCTGGTGACTGCGGTGCGGTGGGATGCAGGAGCCGAGCCCAAAAGCGTTGCCTGAGAGCCCGAGCTGCTGTGCTGAGACACCCATCCCCTGCATGGACACGGCGCTATCCCTGCAGGAAGGGCTGTAGCGGGGGCTTGGTGCCCCGCCGGCTCCAATCCTTGTTGGGAAAGGGCGAGAAGAGCGGGTTGTTGCATCAGGGCTCTGCTCCCCGGGGACCGGGGGGATGCCTGGGTGACAGCACGTCTGCCCTCCCCTCCGAGGACAGCCTTGCACTGTAGTTACCCTTTTCCACCATTCCCAGCTCTCCAGCGCCACGGGATCCCTGTTTCGGTTACAGGCTCTCGCGCTGATAGGAGCAGGCTGTTGGGGTGGTTGGAAGCCAGCGAAGGAGCTTTGCGGGTTCCTCTCGGTTATCTATAGCTTGTCCTCCTTGTCGTGCCCCATCGTGCAGGTTCCCAGCCTGGGCGAGGGCATTCTTCCAGCTTGGGGGGCTTCGGGGACGAGGGGAATTGGATGGGAAACCTATCAAAGGAGCTAGCAGGGGTACGGGCAGCACGATGGAGAGGGTCTCTTGTCCAGCCATCAAGGCTTTCCCTTCTCCTCCCGTAGCTGCCTTTATCCCTCCCTCAGCAGCAGTGGGGCTGGGTACATGGATGCTCCCTGCGCATCCAACTGCTGCAAGGGGGTGTGGGAAGGCAGGAGGCACCCAAGGGAGAGCATTGGGAATTCTGCCTGTGACAAATCCCCCCATGACCTTTACACAGCTCACTCTTGCCCCGGGGTGGGGTGGAGGGGAGTGAGTTTTGCCTGCCCTTGGCTGGGCTGTGGGGCTGACAGCGGGTGCTGTGGGTCAGGGAGATGCAATGACAATGAACTATTCAGGAAGCGAATACCAGCGGCATTTGGGGCTGGAATTTCCAGCTGTTCTGCTGGGGTTTTGTCAGTTGTAATGGGATGAATGAGGGAGCAGCTGTCTCTTCCTGGGGAAAAAACCTGGGCTGGCATCTGTTGGGTGCCTTGGTCTCGCAGCCGAGCCAGCCCGCAGCTCGGGAGGTGTCAGAACCATTTTTATCCATGAATCCAGCCTTTTCTCCACAGCCGGCAGCTGGTTTCCTGACCTCATTCATTGCTTCATGGTTTAACTTTATTCCAGTTTCACGGATTCCTTGTGGGCACTTGGGATCTGAGCTGCCCTGTCCATCAGGGACTGGTGGGAAAGGTCGAGGGGAGACCTTTGCAGAGCCGGCATTCCTGCAGGATCAGGGTGTGGGGTTTGGAAATCTGGCTTGCGTTCATGCCAGTAAATTCAACTGCATGGAACTGGATGGAGAACAGGCTGCTGACTGCGTCGGGTCCAGCTTTGAACCTTCCAGTGTGCTGGAGACAACTGTAAAGCTTGTTTGGGCCTCAGGCTTGCTGTTATCCCTGTTTTCTGCTTGTGGGGACCGCTGGCTGTGAGCTGCTTTCCTGCAGTTTGCTTGGAAGTGGGTCCCGCTTTCCCAAGCAGGCTGGAGCATGGGAGGCAGAGCTCCCATGGGCAAGGAAGGGAGAGGGGAGATGGTCGTGGTCATGGGCACAGGGATGTGTTTGTCCCCATGGGGATGGAGATTGGAGGTTTCACAATGGATAGAAGGGGCTGCATCTGCCTCCTGACACTGTACTCGTGGGCTGGCAAATGCCACACGATGCTGCCTCTCTCCAGCCTGAGCTCTGGCTCCCTGAGCCTCTGCTGTGTGCTGAGCATCTGCAGCGTGTGGAGGGGATGGTGCAGGCTGCTGTGGGACCAGGTTGCTCCTGGAAGGGCTTGAGATAACCAGCGGGCTGACAGCTCTGCCCTCCCGGTGTCATTGCATGGGGTGGCCCGAGCTGAGCACTGCCCTGCGAGTGGAGGGAGCCAAGCGCCTGGATTGCAGCACGTCCTGGCTGGAATACCACATCCCATCTGCCTCCTGCCGTCTGCAACGGGCCAAACGCAGACCTCAGCCCGCTGCGGGTGTTCAAACCCAGGTCCGAGTTTTGGAGCAGAGGCAAGAATCCCATGGAGAGGCCTGGGATAAGGCGCGGGGCGGGGGGGAGAGCAGGGAAGGAGCGGGATGCTGCGGGGCCAGGGGGGGGACCCGCCCGTACGGCAGCTCCCGGTCCGGACCCGCCCGTTCTCTGCAGCCCCGGGGCGCTCGCAGCACAGGAGCCGCACGTACATCCCGATGGGGAGGTCTGGCAGCGATCGGGCCCCGCTGCTCTCCCCTTGTTCCTCCCTTCCCCCTGCGAGATGCCAGAGCCCTGATTGAAAACAGCCGGCGTGAGGCTCGTAGGGTTAAACAGAGCCAGATGGGAGCGGGCGAGACAAAAAGGAAAGTAACGGCCTGGGGCTGGAAGTGGGAGGGGGCGAGAACAGGATCTTTGCTTGGAGCAAGTTAATTACTTGGAGCCCCAGGAATGCAATGGGATGGCTTCAAAGGGAGCCGGGCCGGCCCAGCCCTGGGAAGTGACCCATTTAAGGGTCCTAAGGGCATTGCTGGGTGGGATGGGGACCCTGTCTCCCCATGGGAAGCTGTGAGCAAAAGGGGTTGGTGTGGCTGCCCCAGCAACAACCAGCTGGGTTGTGCTGTTTGCTGCTCAGATGAGGGCTGGGAGCATTTGCCCTGCTGCTGCCCAAAGGCAAAAGCTATGGGCCTGGCTCAGCCCTGTGTTTTCTGCTCACACTGGGCTGTGCTGGGATGAGTGGGGCCATGGTGTGATGCCCCTGGCCCTGGGCTCCACTCTGTGCTGGCACAGCGAGAGTGCTGAGCAGATAAAGCCTGATTTCCCTCCATCATCAGCATCATTTCTGCCCCACTCTCTGGTCCCAGCAGCACCGGCTCCCACAGCAGATGCTGTTCCCCCAGGGAACATCTCCTGGGACAACTGTTCCCCATCTTCCTCTGAGTCTCCTCATCTTCCTCCCTGTCTCATCTCCCTTGATTCTCTTTCCCACCCTGCCTCTGCTGAGCTCCTCCATCTGCCTCGCTGTGCATCCAGCTTGGCTCTGCTCCTGCTGGGGTGACAGAAGCCTGGCGAGCACCCCGAGGTGTCTGCCCAGGAAGCCACAGCCCTGCAAGTGTAGGAGCATCCAAAGCACCTTCTGTGCTCGGGGCTTTATGGGGAGCTTGTCTGCAACAAGCTGGATCCCTCCATCCTGCCAGGCATCAGCTGCTAGCAAGTCTTGCAAGGACCATCGCCGCTGTGCCAGCCTGCAGCAGGGAGGATGGAAATGGGATCAAGCCTTAACAGGCTTGATAACGACCCAAGAAGAGGGAGGGATGGAAACTCTCTGCCTTGGGGCAAGCAGGGATCTTACCTCATCCCTTCACATCTCCTGCTTCCACTGGGGCTCTCCACAGACAACCAGCCCAGCACCCTGCAGCGGTGATGAGTGGGTTATCTGGGCAGCACAGGGAGCTCTATAACCAGACACCTTCCATATTGCCCATGTGTAATCTTACAAATGCCCTTTTTTATCACTCAGCCTTGGAAATGAGCTGTCCTGCGTTAAAGCCTCATCCCTGCAGCACAGGACCATCCATCTCTCTGTCCCACTAACTGCTGCTGGCCTCCTGATGCTGCTGCTCAGCCAATTTGCTACTGAATCGTTGATTTCTCTTTGGCTCAAGTGCAAATTAAACCTAATCCATCAAGGTCTCTGAAGGGGAGCTCCATCCTTTGGGGAGAGTCAGGGCGGTGGCGTTCCTGAGGGGGTGAAAAGAGGCCCCAAACCAAAGGAAACAACTCCCCACACACACTCCCATGGCAAAAGGCTGAGCCAGAGAGAGGGAATCTCAGTGACTCAGGCTTGAGGGTCTTCAAATCCAGCTTTGATTTGGATTTGAAGAGAGCTTCCAAGGGGAAGGAGAGGAAAAATAACAGGGATGGGAGGTGATGCGGTACCCGAACGCGGCGCTTCCTAACCCATCTCTTTGCGCTGCCTCCCTCAGGGAAACATCTGGACCATGAAGGTGGCCTTCAGATTGCTTCTCCCACTTGTTCTTGTGCTGGTCTCGGAGGTGAGCGGGCAGCGGAGGAAACCCCCCCGGAAACCCACCCGCCCGCCCCCCGAGTTTGTTGAGCCCGTGGAGCCCACAGAGCTGCCCCCACCGCTGCCCCCGGGACCCCCTTCCGTCTTCCCTGACTGCCCCCGGGAATGCTACTGCCCCCCGGACTTCCCCTCTGCCCTGTACTGCGACAGCCGCAACCTGCGCAAGGTCCCCATCATCCCGCCCCGCATCCATTACCTCTACCTCCAGAACAACTTCATCGACGACCTCCCGGAGGAGTCCTTCAGGAATGCCACGGGGCTGAAATGGGTCAACCTGGACAACAATCGCATCCGGAAGGTGGACAGGCGGGTGCTGGAGAAGCTGGAAAACCTCATCTTCCTCTACATGGAGAAGAACCAGCTCAAGGAGGTGCCTGCTTTCCTCCCGCCCAACCTGGAGCAGCTGCGTCTGAGCAGGAACCAGATCTCCAAGATCCCTGCTGGGGTCTTCAACAAGCTGGAGAACCTGGTGCTCTTGGATCTGCACCACAACAAGCTAAGCGATGGGGTCTTCAACAAGAACACCTTCAAAGGACTCAAGAACCTCATGCAACTCAACCTTGCCCACAACATCCTGAGGAAAATGCCTCCCGGGGTTCCCAGTGCTATCCACCAGCTCTTCCTGGACAGGAACAACATCGAGGACATCCCCAGTGACTACTTCAAGGAGTTCCCCAACCTGGCATTCATCCGGCTCAACTACAACCAGATCTCCGACAAGGGGCTCCCCAAGAACTCCTTCAACCTCACCAACCTGCTGGTGTTGCACTTGGCCCACAACAAGCTCACCAACGTCCCTTTCATCAGCCCCAAGCTGGAGCACCTCTACCTGAACAACAACTCCATCGACAGTGAGTTGTGCTGCCTGGGGGGAACAGATGGGATTGAGGATGGGGGCTCGGTGGCGTTTTCCACCCACTGGGTTGTGAACCCTTTAAAGGGGGGCGTAGTGATGGGATGAGCTGGGAGCTCTTTGTAGGTGAATGAGGCCTAAAGGAGGATGGATTTGCGCGGGGCTGAGGTTTGGGGTGGTAGCTGAGGAGCGGAGCTCAATTCCCCCTGGTTCTCGAAGGGCTTTTCTTGCTCGTTGTCATGGGCAGTTCTCTGGGGCCGCTTCACCGTTTGAACAGTTGCTTCCCCAGCAGGGCTCAGAAATAGGGATATTGAGAAAGGAGCCTCTGTGCACATATTTTAAGAGCAGATGCCAAAACACGCAGTCAAGATGGTTAGAAATAACCCAGCTCCGCTCTCGAGCTCAGCCTCACGGAGGAAGGAACAGGGAGAACAAGGCAGGGATGGAGGTTGCCTTGGCAAAGCAGCCGGCGCCGCAGTTTGATGCGAGAAGTGCTGGCCTGTGAAACGTGTAAACAGAGCTCGTACGACGGAGGAGAAGGCAGAGCCCCATTCCCGGCCACCCCAGATGTCCCTGCTATGCGAGGTCCGGCAGCCCGCTGTGTTATCCGTGGGGAAGCAGGAATGTGCTGCTCCTGCCAGAAACCCTCTGTGTGCACCAGGAAAAGCCTGCTGGGCTCTGCCCTTTCTGGCTGTGAGGGGTGTACGGGGGCTGCAGGACCCGCTCAGGGCATTGCTGGCAGGATGCTGGTCCCCACCGGTGCCGCTGTGTTTATTGTGTAGTGATGGTGTGCGGATGCAAAGCATCCTGCTGCCAAAGAGGGGTTGTGCAGCCACAGCTCAGCTCCAGCTGAACATCGGCCAGCAAGGGACAAGCAAGGAAACTGCTCTGAGCAGGCACCCACTGAGAGCGCTGTGGGATGTGATGCCAGAGAGGGGGGGAAAAAACCCTCCCAAAGCCACGTCCCTACTCTCAGGAGATTGCTGCTCCCAGGGAATAGTGAACCAGTGATGAATGTGTGGTCCAAACGCTGTTAATCTGCATTGTGTTTAACCAACACCAGACTGGAGCCAAGGGGAACCCTGGGGTGAAGGTGGTGATTGCTGCTGGTCCTGCTGGGGCTGCCCATGGACAGGAGCCTGCGTGGCTGTGCCCATCGTGTCCCAGCTTTGCCTTTGCCTATTTTATCCAGCTTTTGTAAGGTTTCAGTGCCTGGAGCTGGGTTTATTTTCCATCCTGCAGACCCTGGGGTGAGGAGAAGCACGTGGAAATCCAGAAGCAAGCAACGAGCTGGTTGCTGATGTTATCTCATGGTGCTGGAGCACGGTTCCTTGATGTTTTGTTGAGGGCTTAGGGCTGCTCGGCAGGTTTCATGTTTGGAATGACACCTTCTTCCTCTCAAATGACACCGTACCCATCACCGTGCTGTGGCTGAATGTGACCTACTTCGTTTCTGATCAAAAGCGGGATTTTCCTCTCGCTGGAGCTGTGCTGTTTTCTGGAACAGGCTGGGAATCCCCCCCTCCCCTTGGTAGCAAAGCAACCCCATTTTGGGGTTCAACAGGCAGGCAGGGAGGGGGGACTCAAGCCTCAAGCATCCCTCTCTGCCTTCCCTTTCCTCTAACCCGCATCCCGCTTTTCCTCTCCTCCCTGCAGAAATCAATGGGACGCAGATCTGCCCCACCTCGCTGATGTCCATCCAGGACTTCTCCCCCTCCGACCTGGACAGTGTGCCCCGGCTCCGGTACCTGCGCCTGGACGGGAACCTCCTGAAGCCCCCCATCCCCTTGGACCTGATGATGTGCTTCCGCCTCCTGCAGTCCGTGGTGTTCTAGCCCTGCCCGGCAGCGCGGCTCTCCCAGGACTTGGCTTTGCACAGAGACTGAACCCATATCCATGTCTGAGACGTGGGACCCTCTTTGCCTCCCTCTCCTTCTGCTCACATCCCTCCTCCCTTCCCCTCTTTCCCCCCTGCAGTGCACGCGTGGCTTGTGCATCCTTGGGGACCACAGTGTGAGGGACAGCACCGTGTCAAGCAGCCACCCCAGGTCACAGCATCAGCCCAGGGTGGCTGCCACGCTCACCCCAGCTCCCTGCTTGTGGGCTCTGCCTTCTCTGTCCTCCCCCAGGCCAGCCCTGAGGCTGGCTCTGCCTCTCCTCTTCTACCCAGCAGGGTTTTAGGAGATTGCATTCAGCCCAAGCCAAAAGCATCTCTGGATGGAGCTGATGGGGAAGCCCAGGGACCACTTCGCTGCAGGACCCTGCACCATCCCTCCGGGATGCATACAGAGAGCCTGTGATGTTCCTCGGGAGCGATGGAGGTGGAGCAGGGATGCCTTGGGCTGGTGTGCCAAGGGTGCAGGGGTACAGGGTGAGGCCAGCGGGTGGCTGGGGGAGCAGGGTATGCGCAGGCAGAGGGTGGCTGGTGTGGCAATGACGCCTCATGGCCATGTCCCAGGGCCCCAAGCAAGGGACACGCTGGTGTGGGGGTTTGCCCTTGGCTCTAGGGGTTATTTCCTCCCAGTGGTGTGGCTTTGGTAGGAGGGAGCGGGGAGGGTGCCTGGCCCCTGCGCTGGAGCTGGGCTCTGCTGCGCCCTGGGTGGGTTGCACCTTCCCCGCAGCAGCCCATCACAACCCCTCCTTTGCAGAGCAGCCCCTTCCCCAGCTTCCATCCCAGCAGCATCATTCCATGGTGCCGCAGCCCCCTCCCAGACCCCTGCATCCTCCCATGTGGAGATGAAGGACTTGGTGCATCGGCTTCCAGCTAAAACCCTGCACAGGATCCATGGCATGGGACCCCCAGGCAGGGCAGAGCCAGCAGCTCTGCACTGATGCCAGCAGGACACTCATGTTTAGGTACCCAAGGGCTGATGCAGGTGTAAGCCTGGGGCTGGGTTGACCTGCAAGGCCTCTGCTTCTCCCCCTGTTCCCTCCTTGATTCCCACCTCCTGGAAGTTTTACTCTCAGTTGCTTTCTTGAACCACACACATGGATTTGCCTCTTTTTATTTTGGTTAGAAAAAAAGAAAGAAAAAGGGAAGAAAGACTCTTTTGGAACAGCTGTGTTTTATCCTCCCTGTTTCACATGTATCGCTTCCCTCTTTGATAGCTGTACTGCATATATAGGGTGTCTGGGTTTGGGGGGGGTTGGTCTCTCTTTTTTTCTTCCTGATTCTCAGGATTTAGATTTAAGGCCAAGCATTAGAGGGGAAAGAAAAAAAAGAATCCAATTGAAACACGTATTAAAGCAACAAACCAAAGACACCAGCTTGGTACCTCCACTGCGTTCAGCCAGCCTTCCCCAAGACAGGCACGGACGGGCACCGTGTCCTGCTCCTTGGGGTTGGGATGGGGATGCTCCCTGCAGCCTGGGGACGTGCTGGCTCTGAGCCCTGAACCATGGAAGGTTTATTCACCCCCTGTGCTAATTCAGCCTTATTTTCCCATGAGCAAATCCTCTTCCGAATCTTCCTCCCGTGGGCTTTGTTGGGTTCGACAGGTTTCAACCTTAAACCCGGAGACCCTATGTATATATATAATGTGTATATATACTGGTAGACTGTACAGATATAGCTAGAGACATATGTAGTTCTCGACTGATTTCAACTTAATGGTATTTTCACTCCTACTCTCCGCAGCAGTGGAAATAAAATGATTCACAAGGGACCCAGCACCGCGTTTGGGCCTGCCTCCCTCCGATCCATCCTCATCCTCCTCGCTGCGGGAGCTGCCGCTTCCCTCAGGACCATCTTTCCTCTGTTGGGCACGACCTTCCCAGCAGTGGGAGCTTGGGAGAACCCTGGCAGTCCCTGCAGTGGGAGGGCTCCGGGGGTGTTTGTGGTGTGCCCTTGCCTGAAGCGATGCTGGCTTGGACTCACAAGCAGCGTTTGCGGGCACCTTGTGGAGCTTGGGCCTGTCTTAATGAGCACCTCTGCTAATGAAAACAAGCCTGGCTGACCTCAGCTGCAGCTCCGTGGGCTGTGCCTGCAGCTAAAGGGGCATCGTTGCCCCTGCGAGGCAGCTGGTGTCCGTGTGGGGTAAATGAGCTTGGGCTGATCCATTCCCCCCATCGCCTTCATGCGCCCGGAGAAGCTGGACCACTACCCCCTAGGTGAGTGTGCCCTGCGGGAGCAGCACGGAGGAGCTCCAGGGCACGCAGAGGGGCAGGAGGCCCCTCTCCTACCCGCAGCATCCGTGCCCAGGGCTCGCTTTCACACGAGCAGAATGGATGTAGGCAGCGCCTTCTCCTCCTGCCCATCGCCGCAGCTTCAGAGCTCTCCTCTCGCTGCTGAACATGAATCACGAGCCGAGAGGGAGGGTGGCCGTGGGCTGGGTGCGAACGCAGGGGCTGCAGCGTGGGGCTGCTCACGGGAGCAGGAGGGGATGTGTGGATGCGGGGATGCGCAGGGCAGGCAGCGAGCAGCCCTTCTGTGCTCGTGCTGGAGGAGAAAACCTCCCTGTTTGGGACTCAGGGTGTGAATTGTGCCCTCCCGGGGGTGCATTCACTGCCTGCCTGTGTCCCCCCTTCCCCGGGAAGGCAAAGGGGGGTTCAATCCTTCCCTCTGCACAATCACTGTGCCACTATGGGAGGGGAACCTGGGAAGCTCTACCCTTGCCGTGTGTGTCGTGGGGAAGGCTGGGGGCTGAGTGGGGCTGCTGGGATGGGCACCAAAGGTGGGTGCTGATCTTCCCAATGCTGGAAAGGGGGATGTGGGCTGGATATAGCGAGAGGCAGTTTGGAGCGGGATGAGTGACTGCTCGAATCACACTCCCCCCCCCCCAAAATCACTGCTGACCCCCAACCCACTTGTGGGTGCCAGAGCAGGGCTTGCACTGATGATGCCGTGGGTGCAGGCATTCACTGCTGCCTCTGGGGACAAGAAGTGGGGGCAAGGATGGGCACCAGTTCCTTCTGTAGGGCAGTAAAACCACTGCCCCAGGGCCCCCTGTGCAGCAGCTTCCCCTATGCTGGGTTGCTGGGCAGGAGCTCCCCAATCTCCCCCCATCCCATGTCCCCTCCAGCCATGCTGGACCGAAGCCCCCAGTGAAAGGGGACTTGGCAGTGGACCCTGGACCTGCACCCCTCCAAGGAGCAGGCAGAGCTCAGCTGTAACTGCCACATCTCCTCCATCACTGCGCCTGCCCAGCCGCCTAATGAGGGCCTTAATGAAGATTAGTGGTGGCCCCATGCTCTGCCCCACGCCGAGCAAGGCGGGGATGCTGGGGGCGAAGGGGACTGCGGGTCCATGGCCAAAACCCACGCTGGTGGGGGGCTGTGGGGTGTCCCCGTCTGCCCAGCGAGCACCAGCAGATGGGTGCTGCATCTCTATGGGTGGGTGAGCGCGTGGGCTTCAATGTGCCTGCGGGAGAGAAGAACATTTTCACAGCGGTGGGTGGCTCTGTGTGTGTGCACCAGGCTGCCCAGCACCGCGAGCAGCCCGTGGGGCTGCCGTGCACCCCCTGCCCCACAGCCCAGCCCCACAGGACACATCCCTGGCAATGACATCCCCACCTCATCACCTCCAGGGGATGAAGCCCCCCTCGGGTTGAGCCTTACTATGGAGTGTTTGGGCTGGAAAGGACCAGCCTGTTCCAGACCCCTGCCATGGGCAGGGATGCCTCACGCTAGGCCATGTCACCCAAGGCTCTGTCCAACCTGGCCTTGGGCACTGCCAGGGATGGGGCATTTACCACTTCTTTGGGCAGCCGGTTCCTCACCATGGCTATCACACATGGGGGGTATCCATCGGCCCCACTGACCCTACACAGGGAGAGATGGGGTCATCCCCATCCTACCCTGGTGAGTGGAAAAGTGCTGCCTTGGTGGCACCTGGGCTCGTTGTGGTAGGGATGAAGCTGGATCTGGGGCCTCTGTCCTCATTGCCCATGGGGAAGGAGCACAGCAGAGAGCCAGGGTTCCTGGCATCGCTTCTGCTTCCCCAGTGCCCAGCCTCACCCATTGAGGGTCCAGAGCAGGACCCCGATCCCTGCATCACCCCTGGACCCCTTCCCCAGCTGCTGGAGGCTGGGAAAGCCGGGAAGCGCGGGGCCTCTCCTTCCCAGCTGCCCAGCCAGGCGTGAAATGGGCTGAAAAGAAAAGGGCTGGTGACGTTCCCGGGGCAGAGGCCGTTTGTCCCCCACTGCAGCCCCTGTGCGGTGCCGGTTCTTCCTCCCCATCCCTCTTTGCTCCCGTTTCAGAGCACCGGGCCCCATCCTGAGGGGTGCTGCTGGAGCCCCCCAGGACCGCGGTCCCACCACTGCTGTGGCTGGATGCAGGATGCGGATGCTGGCCTTGCTGTGCATCGCCAGCCTGTGGCTGGGGGCAGCTTGGGCTGTGCCAGCCAGGGAGGAGAGGAGGAAAGCAGAGAAGCCGAATGATGATCTTGAGCTCTACGACCCGGACAACTATGACCTGACATTGGACAACTACGGCGACATCATCGACCTGAGCAACTATGAGGAGCTCTACGACTACGGTGACTTTGCTCCAAAGGTGAGGGGGACCCGGGGCAGGTCTTCCCTGGGTGCATCCCAAGGAAGGGGCTTGTCCGAGGGATGCGGAACCAGCTTCATGCACAGCCCTACAAGCCCTGGTGGCTTTTCCGCCCCTGTTGCTGTGTTTGCAGGTCGAGGTTGGCACCCTGGCTCCTCGGCCCAAGAACCCCGTGGCTCTCCCAACCCTGGGTGCTGCAGCTGAGCCCATGAAGCCGCAGCCTCCGAGCCCCCCAGCACCCATCCCTACGCAGGGTGAGTGTGGAGCCCTGGGTGCAGCACAAAGGTGGGGTTTGCTTCCAATGGGATGCAGCCACGCATCCCTGGGTGCTCTGGAGGAAAGGGAGCAAATCCTTTTGCCCCCAGCAGACAGCAGCAGTGATTTGCCCAGAGAAGCTGGGTTGGAAACAGGGGCTTGGAGCAAGCTGCTCTAGTGGAAGGTGTCCCTGCCCGTGGCAGGGGTTGGAGCTGGAGGAGCTTTAAGCTCCCTTCAACCCAAACCAGGCTGGGATTCTATGGCTTGCTCTGCCCAGGCAGCGAGGTGATGGGGTGAATGTTAGCAGGAAAGCTGCAGTGAGCCATTTCTGAGAAACAAGAGCTCCAGCAGCAACACTTTAATGAGCAGAGGCATTGCAACAGTCAGACAGAGTAGCAATTACATTAGTGACAATTAAAATCCTGTAGCGAGGGATAAATATCTTCATTCATTCTCTGTCACTCTGGACTAGGACAAATTAAGTGGGAGGCAAAGGGAAATTGTTGCCTTGCTGCTTTGAACTCCTCCACTAATGGATGCTGCATCTCATGGGGGCTGGGAAGAGGAGGGGGAGCCTAGGGAGGGGGGAAACATGGCTTCACCCCTCCTGCCACCCTGCCGGGACCCTCACACAGCCCAGACATGTGTTCAGATGGATGCAGAAGTGTTTTCCTTCCGTTCTGTTTCCTTCTGTACCAAAACCCAGGGGGCTGAGTGAGCCCTGGGTACCACACTGCTGCGTTTGGCATCCTCACCTCTCCCCCTCTCCCATGGGAGGCATCTGGCTCTGAACAGCATCATTCCTTAGAAGCATCCTTGGCTGGGAATGTCGGTCCCTTGGTGAGGTGCCCTTGGCTGATGGAGGTGCTGGGGCTAAAGACTTGGTGTCCCCACAGCATGGGCACATCCTCCCATCTCCCTGCATGTCGGGGTGCTCTGGGGGTGCTGTGCCATGCCAAGAGCTGCCCCTGCACCCGCAGGCCTGCTCAGCTGCCTTCTCTGCCTGTGCATTGGCACCTCCGTCT